ACAACAACAACAACAACAACACCAAGAACAAGAACAAGAACAACAACAACAACGACGACGACGACGACGACGACGACAACATCAACAACAACAATAACAACAGGAATTACCAACACACCGTAGCATGAAAGCCTAGACACATCGGAATAATATCTCTCGGTGTGATGTGCTTGACAGAACATGTTCCCTTTATATTATTAATAGCACTCATGTCTTTCAATGTTCTTTTTAATAAGGTCTTCACTCACCGATGATTCTGTATTTCACATGTAATAGACATAATATTATCATGCTAGCAACGCTGTCACACACCACCGTTTGTCGGGCTAGAACTACTCCAGTGGAAAACCGTGTGAATATGTCTCCCCCTGGCCCTTCACACACACCTAAAACACTTTAAGTATTATACTGCCTCAAACCACCAACATTATTATTCAATATTCTCTTTGCGAAAACTTTTCATTACCAATATGCACACCTCGTGAACTCTCTTTTTGCACACCATTCGCAGTGTTCATCCCTCATAATTAAACGTAACGTCGCTCTCGTACTGGGCACTTGCCAAATACGGGGAAAGATCGTTGTCCTCATCCGTTTCCGGATAAGCTCTTCAATACTTAAGAGAGCATGTCTCAGAATACTAAAGTATGTGTGCAAGTGGATCTCTCCGATTTCGCTCAAAATTTGCAGGTAGGTTCCCTTTGGGGTGTGGATCGATTGGGCAAAGCCCTTGAAAAAGTTTCTGAAGGGAACCTTGAAATTTGCATACCCCTCAAAAATGGCCGAAATATCACATTATTTATGGGTCTAGAAACGAGTCACGCCACAGCGTATACGAACAAGCTATGAACAAAACTCCATCAAGCCAACATTGCCTCACCTTAGAAGAGTTGCTGGAGCAGTACCGCTTAGCCACGCCAGCATCCCAGAAGACGAGGTCCATCACCCCCTGACGCCACAAATGATCGTCTTGAAAATAGCCAATTTACAAGCGCTGGCAAAACATCCAGCTACGTCCTCAATTGGCCAGAACTATACACCGGCAGATAGTAGAACACCTCTTCTAGCGCTAAGGACATGTCCCCCATCTTCCTTTTGGGGTTTTCTTGAAATAAACTTTTTTGAATTTTTCCACTCGACCATGCTGAAATACGGCCAAAGTCATACCTGCGCAGGAAAGCTCGCCCCTCCGCGACGTCTCCTCAGCAATTTCTACTCCAACACTACTCCCAAGGCCGCAGAACAAAGTGTAGTGTTGACGCTGACAAGGAAAAGCAGCGGTGATCACTTGTCACTCCATCCAACCGACAAGCTTCTCCTTGCGCCACCAATAATTTTTTGTGCGACTGTTGATGCAAAAGTGACTGAAGGCCTGAGCGCAGTTTTTGAATTTTATTGCAAGATGCACGGTGAGATCGCGTGCTCTGTGACGTAGGATGACGCTTCCTGCATCACGATACGCAGCCATCGATCGCGAACGTGTCTGGAACGCTACTCGGAACAGACCATGATGGCAGAGGTGAGATGAGCTGCATTTTCCTGCTTGATCTGCTGAGAACCCCCACAAACTGTCCTAGGAGTGTTGCAATGGCAGCAAGCCGTTGAAATATGCCCCGTACAGCATGGACAATTATTCGTCTTTCACACTTACCTCCTGCAATCCCGAACATAGTCCAACAGTAAAAGTCCCTAGTTTTCATGTCGATGCTCGACAAAAGCGGCTAGATCGGTCCCTTTGTGTTGACTGGCACGCGAGCAGCACTGGCTGCACGCACTTGTCGCGTGAACTGCATGAGAGATTTCTTACGTCATAAAGAATGTGATTTCATCATCATTTCCCTGCTGGCCTGGTCTTCGACCTACATGGTCAGGGAAAGTCCCGGTTCGTAGGCCTACAGCACGGTAAGCGTGTTCTGGAGCGCAGTAACAACACAAGTGTGATCACTTCCAGACCAACGCCACAGCCACGGGCGTTCAAGGCAAGTAACAAGCGCACTTGACAAAGGTCACTCTGAAATTTCGTGAGCCGTGGGCCACGCGACTTGGCATTCTTGGGTCACAAGGCACGTGATTTCACCGTGCATCTTGCAATAAAATTCAAAAACTGCGCTCAGGCCTTCAGTCACTTTTGCATCAACAGTCGCACAAAAAATTATTGGTGGCGCAAGGAGAAGCTTGTCATTTGGAAAGACAAGTGATCACCGCAGCTTTTCCTTGTCAGAGTCAACACTACACTTTGTTCTGCGGCCTTGGGAGTAGTGTTGAAGTAGAAATTGCTGAGGAGACGTCGCGGAGGGGCGAGCTTTCCTGCGCAGGTATGACTTTGGCCGTATTTCAGCATGGTCGAGTGGAAAAATTCAAAAAAGTTTATTTCAAGAAAACCCCAAAAGGAAGATGGGGGACATGTCCTCAGCGCTAGAAGAGGTGTTCTACTATCTGCCGGTGTATAGTTCTGGCCAATTGAGGACGTAGCTGGCTTTTTTGCCAGCGCTTGTAAATTGGCTATTTTCAAGACGATCATTTGTGGCGTCAGGGGGTGATGGACCTCGTCTTCTGGGATGCTGGCGTGGCTAAGCGGTACTGCTCCAGGAACTCTTCTAAGGTGAGGCAATGTTGGCTTGATGGAGTTTTGTTCATAGCTTGTTCGTATACGCTGTGGCGTGACTCGTTTCTAGACCCATAAATAATGTGATATTTCGGCCATTTTTGAGGGGTATGCAAATTTCAAGGTTCCCTTCAGAAACTTTTTCAAGGGCTTTGCCCAATCGATCCACACCCCAAAGGGAACCTACCTGCAAATTTTGAGCGAAATCGGAGAGATCCACTAGCACACATACTTTGGTATTCTCAAACATGCTCTCTTAATTCGTTTTCCTACCTGGCTTCGCGAAAACTTTCACCAAGTCATTGGCAAACATTAGTTTCAACTAACCGTACTTAAGCGAGAGAGCTTGGAAGCTCAGAGACCTACGCTATGCTTTTTTCCTGTGATAACCTAGACAAAAAAAAGCAAAGGGATGTTATAAATTCTTTAAAAAATTCCTTTTTTTAAAGACATAACCTGGGATTCGAACCCGCACTATCGCGCGCCCTGCATGCATCCCCCGATACACTTCGCATACATACGAATTCTTCCAAGTTGCTTCACGTTATGATCTTGCATTTGAAAGCCCTATTTGAATATGCATTGTGGCCAGCCGTCTTTGATGTCACGGTACGGGATAGGTACGGGACAGGTACGATCGAGGGTAATACGACACCGTCTACCGCCTTCATGACGGTATAGAGCAGTTTTTATTGCTATAATATTATTGTGGCCAGCCGTCTTTGATGGTACGGTACGGGATAGGTACGGGACAGGTACGATCGAGGGTAATACAACACCGTCTACCGCCTTGATGACGGCAAAAAAGCATAGGGATGTTATAAATTTTTCCATTCTCCTATTTTTTTCAGGCATATCCTGGGATTTGAACCCGCACCATCGCCCTACATGCATTCCCCCATACACTTCGCTATCATACCCATTCTTCCAAGTTGCTTCACGTTATGATCTTGCGTTTGAAAGCCCTATTTGAGTATTGCGGCCAGCTGTGTTTGATGGTACGGTACGGTACGGGACAGATACGGAATAGCGCCAGGCGCGACACAAACAAACAGACAAACAAAGACACAAATATTGGACTAATGCATCTCCCCATACACTTCGCATTCATACCCATTTTTCCAAGTTGCTTCACGTTATGATCTTGCGTTTGAAAGCCCTATTTGAATATTGCGGCCAGCTGTATGTGGCCAGCTATGTTTGATGGTACGGTACGGTACGGGACAGATACGGGATAGCGCCAGGCGTGACAAAAACAAACAAACATACAAATACCAAATTACAGCTGTGTGGACCCTGGCTAGCGCCATAGCTACGGGAATAAAGTTCTTTGTTTCTGAGCTTTTCAAACGGTTGTGAAGGCCAAACAAGCTTTGGGCTGCAAAAAAACCCACATTGCAATCGTTAGTGGGTGGCTATAGATGCGTTGTACAGACAGCGTACATCGGTTTGCTTGTATTTCAACTATACAATTGTGCCTTCTGAGTCATTTCAGAAAAATAGTAGATCATGAGATGTCAAGATAATGTGCATTCCTTTTTCTGTGCACTGTAATAACGTAGAATACATGCAAAAGGCTACAGCAGGAAGGGCTGTTCCAGTTTATGTTGCAGCACATCTGCTGTTCCCGCTCCTTTATTTGGTTGTTTGTGCACAAGAACTCCTCCATTTTAAGATGCGATATTACCAAATGTTTCGCTCTTTCTGAAAGTTAGGAAACGATTTCGGAAACTAGCCCTTTTTGCATGGTTGCGAAAAGCACAAGTTGCGAAATATGATGGCATCTCTGGAAAGTGCTTCATCCATATGGAATTCAGTTCAAATTGTTGGAAGCCATAATGTTATCAACGTCTATACAAGCTTAATAGCAAACTCACTCTGGAGCCTGCTTCTAGCTACCCCCCCCCCCCCCACCACCACCACCAACACCAACACCTACATCCTTACCCGCGGCTTCCCCTATGCATACATCGAGGTATGGAACCTGTTCCAACAATGGCATTTCCCGGCTCCTTCCTAGTGCTACGCTGCCCATATGTTCAAGGAGAAAGTCCATAAGCACATTCGAAACAGCAGCTGTGCCTTGGCAAAGAACTCCCTCTAGAAACTCATCTCCCACTTTGCTCTTTATTCGTAATCTTGCTCCCCCTCTCTCTATTTTTTCTCCACCCCCCTCTCTCTCTCCCTATATTTCTCTTTCTCTTTCTCTCTCTCTGCTCTCTGTCTCTCTTTCTCTCTCTCTCTCCCTTGCCCTCTCTCTCTGTGTCTGTCTCTTTCTTTCTTTCTCTCTCCCTTGCCCTCTCTTTCTGACTCTCACAGGTTTCAGTACAATACCCTCCAGGAATTGTCATTGTTTACATGACATTGCAACACAGTGTAACTACCAAAAGAAACATGCAACAACGGCACTGGAATATACAAGTGTGAACTAAGACATTGAAGGCGTGAAGAAACAAAAACTTTTCAAATGTATGCAAGCAGTACTGTCAGAGAAGACAGAGCGGGCGGTTATGAAGAGAAGAATCGAGCAGAAATTTTTACCTACTTTACATGGAAAATTCAAAATAGATAGAATGGGTCGCACGGTGAGGCAGATGAAAAAGGAAAGTAATCACGGTTCGCGTCAGACTCAGCCATATGCCGAGTTTTTCGCATCTGTAGGAACGCCGCCACCTTTCAAAGTTTCATGAAACGCAGAAAGGGATAGTCATATAAAACCTTACATGGTGGCGGGGGTATATTTGTGTTCATTGGGTGAATAATTTCACTTGGTGTATTTTCGCGAATCGAATTAGAAACAAAGTGTGGAAAATGAGTGATTTCGTAAGTCATCGGCGCTGACAACTATAATTTTAGTCCTGGTCTTGAAATTATGAAGGGGTGAAAAGCTAGCGAATGTGATCTAGGACCGAAAGAATACTAGATATGCATGCTTCAAGTTTCCGCGCAGCCCTTCTGTGGCACAGCATATATGGCAGAGGGATCGGGAAGATCAACCGGCACAGCACTGATATCACCCAGTTCATCTCTTCTTTCAAGGGTGGATGCGTTGCCCAATCCATCATCGTTCAGGGAGATGGCTGGTTCTGCATAGATGTTAGGATCAGTGTCTGTATCAGGCTGGTCAGCGCCTTGACTGGACACTGTGTCCTGTGGGTTCATGTAATCGCCCTGGCTGTCCTTCAATACTTTGAATACCCGATATGGCAGAGGCTTAGGTACTTGAGATGGAGACACACATCTTTGGGTGTCTGACCGAGTTGGTGTCGATGTAGATGTGGCTGGAAGGGATAATCGAAATGACTGCTGGTTGGTGCTGGTAGTGGTGGTTGCGGCATTGCGACATACTACTTGTGTTGCGTCACTCAGACCACGGCGTTGTTTGCGCTCCACGTCATCTGGATTGATACACTTCTCCGGGTTATGTAGGGCTGATTGTGCGGACTTGGTTAAGACGCTACGTGATCTTACATCCGTAGCACGACATATGTGGTCGATTGAATGTGTAGTGCGGGGTTGCTCATCACGCTTAGTAGCCGTGCACTCCTCTGCGTTTTCGTAATGTCTGCGAACACCTGTCGTATCCGCCTTGTGAGGAACTGAGTAGCAGACGGCTGGAGCTTCTTTGGCTTCCTGTCTGACAGTCTCTGTTTGCTGGCTTTTAGGATGTGACTGCACGTCCTCGGCTGATTGATCAAACATAGGCTGCACGCTGGCGTACGGCTCACCAGCACCGTTCTGCCTTGTTTCCGTGTTGGCATAATTCGTTGGCGCAGAACCATCACGGGTAGCATACGTGTAAGTCTCATTCTCCGTACAACTGTCATAAAGGGCAGCAGGTATATCAGGGGGTGTATTAGGATGGTTGATTGGATGGCTGTAACCAGGTCCAACGGCCGAGTACAGTTCCGGATCCGTCAGTTCTGCCGTAGTTCCCAGGTCAGCGCCGTCAGGACAGTTGTGATTCTCGTAAAACTGATTTACGTGGTCTGGCCTATTTCGCGGGACTGTCGATTTACGAACAGCGATGATCCATGCATGACTGCTCCTAGAAAGAAACGTTCCTGATCTAACTAGTAACAGCAAAATAAAAACGCTCAGGAGAACAGAAAGTACAACCAAAGGAATTACAATGGTAGTAACCAAACTAAATCCTCCTCGCTCATCTTCAAGCTGTTCAGCTAGGGTGGGTGCGGGAGTCGATGTTTTGATCTGAGTAACATAGTTACCCACGGTTCTAGTTGACTCCACTATTGCAGTGTTCGTAACTGGAGTTGGGACTGTGGAGGCAGACGTAATTGGAGCTTGCACTGTAGAGTCAGTCGGCTTCTGTGTGGAACGGGTAGAAGATTGACTTTTGGTTACAGCATGGCTGGGGGCAGTGCTTGTTACAGCTGTTGGCGGGATTACTGCAGAGAACACACAGTAATATGAAGAGTGTACTGGTTATCGTCTCATAATGAGAAAACTGCAGATATTTTTTCAGAAACTAGTAATTACGGAAGTTTCATAATCAATGGGTCAGGCAGAGGCTTAAGATGCGGCGCCCGCATTGAAGGAAATAGTTGAAAATATACCATGTACTACATTACGTAACGGAGAGAGAAAATGGATCGATGCGCAATGTCACCTTGTTGATAGATTGTATTCACACAGTGAGCAGATGTACTGAAAAACAAGGCAGCAAGTGATAGTGCGCCATGTATGATGGGCACAATGCAATGTTCACTTGGATGGAAGGAGGGACTGTGACGTGCATCGTATACCACACTTAACATGATATACACGAAATCCTTCCACTTACATGTACTGTATTTATAAACTAAGAAGAAGAGGCAGAGGTTAATTTATATGAATGAGAAAAGCACCAAGAAGCTACAAAGAACGTTGTATATCTCGCCGGCCGAGCGCAGCGAGATAGGCGAGAAATCATTCCTTGCGGAACATTTTCAGTGGTAAATATGGCATCTGGTGTGTTCTTTATTGTTCGTTGGTTGGTTGGTTTTTTTATTTCACGTCGCACATTCAAACGGGATGACGACCCAATAAAATGACGGCGAAGGCTTAGCCTAGAAGTGTGGCTATGGAAGAACATAATAAAAGCTAAGGAAGCACATAGTAAGAGAATAAGATACTAATAACTGCGAGTAAACGGGGGGCGAGAGAGAATACGATGTATCTGTGACACTGTACTAGGTGAGGATTACTGAACTGCACGGGGAGGGAGAGCAAAGCGATCAGCAGAAACTCGAACTACTCCCTACAGGCGTATGGTACACATGCATGCTTAAAATCAGGTAGCCGGGTAATTGTGCGGACCTCACCAGGGAGAGCGTTCCACAGCAGAGCACCAGCAACAGAAAATCACCACTGACCGCGGCGGCTACGGTTTGCCTGGCTTAGTAGGCCATTTGACTGCTGATGGCGGGTAGGGGTGCCTTGTGCCGGGGTCAGAAGCTGGGCGAGCACAGGGCTGGTGCGGGCGTGGATGCAACGCCAGATGGTGATCAATATTTTCTGCATTGTCGCTTCCTTACTTGCTTCCTTACTTGACTTCTTCAGTCAGTTTTAAGTCTCACCAGTGTCCCTGCTCTCCCTACATTTCTCTGCATATTATCATTGCTTTTTTATAAATTTTTGCCGGGATGTGCTTGTCATGCCTACATAATGCCTAATCACTCGGTTTTTACCCTCAAAACTGCGTCCTCCGGCGCGAGGATTTTCCCGGCTGGCTCGTTCCAGGAAAATAAATCTGGCTGTCCCAAGTGGTTCTGCTTCATGGCCTATTTCTGCTTTCCATCGGCATGCCTATTCTATCCGATACACTCTGTTCTCAATCCTTACTTCCAGACCTCACTCGTTATCCGGTGTACATCTGGCTGCGGCCAACTACCCTTCACTTTGTTTGTTGTCGCTATTTCTGTCTATGTCTCTGTGTGTGACAGTATAATGTGGAGCGAGAAGCTGCAATATCCACTGACGCCGCCAGTAAATTTGATACTTAAGTCATTCTATAACAATGCACGACACTGGCCAGCACTACTGACGCTTTAAATTGAACAGCTGACATTCATTCTCAAAATAGGCGCAGATCAATGAAGTTTAGCCCTAAGAGGTTCCCGTTCTTGGTGGCTCAGTAAATGTTAAAGAAATAAACAAGAAAAAAGAGATAGAGTGGAAAAAAGCTGGATCTCCTGTGAGAGGAGCAACATATTTCCCGTGTAAACAAGAAAGTTTGTTCTCTTCTAAAGGAAATGTGTGCAATAGAGTTACTACAGAGTTTATCGCACTGGTACACCGCATTTCTTCTTGTTTTGCAAGCTGGGAGATTTTGTTCTTGCTGTGCCTGCCCCCGCAGGTTCTTTAATTATTCCGTGGTGAATCGTTTGCAATGCAAATGCGAGTAAGAAGATGTAATTGCGTGTGGGTGTGTGTGGGTGTGGTGGTGTATGTGAACGGCTTACCCTGGGCAATGATGGCCAATCCTCGCACAACTCGACTGCGCCTTACACTGTGTATGTCACAATGGGCATCCCTGGCAGAAATAGATATCATCAATGTACTTCTGTTATACCCTGTCATATACTCGTGGAGCGTTTGGGTGGCTGCTTGCGTTAAGTTTTTGATTCCCGTCTTCCAGCTACTTCCCGGCACAACTGGAAAGTCTAGGGTGTCCAGGAAGCTGTTATCACTGCCATAACGGACTGCTACTGAGCATGATCCAATGTACATGAGTGAAATCGCTTTCAATAACAGATGGCAAGGTGATGTGAATGTGAACGTTTTCTTGTAGAGGTTTCCAGTACCAAAACTCAACTTTACTGGTGCCCGATCAATGTCGGGCTGGATATATTTCTTATTGCCATAGGTCAGTATAACTCCATCTTCTAGCGTGCAGTTTGGCAGTATATTACCGTGTGACCCTGTGGAAAGCAGACCTGCAGTCAACGACATTACACATTAACGGGGAACGAGTAAGGATCAGCATTGTCAATACTCCATCGAACATCTCTTCTTCATTATTTCCCCCGGTTTAGGAGCACGTTCTCAAAAGTTTTCTGTCTGATAAGTAGGGTGTGAATGTTACAAATTGTTTCGTTCGTTTCTTTGTGGGCTTTCTTTGCTATTAACATCTAGTTAACAATGGGAATCATCTGGCCCGATTTCTAGCTTCGCAATAAGGTACTAGTAGACTTGTTGTCTCTCACGAACACGTTTAAGGCAAGAGGTCAAACTGTGGTCTGCATGGATGCATGCGGTCATGTTCATCAGGGAGAACTACTTGAAGTAGCATGTCCACAAGATCTTGGTGTTCGACTTACTGATAGCCACTAGCAGAGCGGTGGCGCCGCCAAGTACCCTGGTAATCATCTTCCTATGGATACTGCCTCTACCGTAGATTTCAACTAAATCCACAGATAGAATTTGGCGTGCGAACTGACCACTAGCTATGTATGTAAATATTATTGCTTCAGCCTGTTACAGTAAACCTCACAAGTGTCCACGCTTTTAGGTAAAACAATTATATTCACACGGCAGTAGACCGGCAAGGTCCAGATAATGAGGGTCAGCAGTGAGCAAGAAGGTCTTCATGGAAAACATCGGGGCTATGCGCATTGCATGAAGAGTGATAGTGGCCGTCTCCGACGCAGAAAGCACCATCTGCTTACAATTCACGAGGAAGTGCCGCCATGGATGAACGCCTACGCTGCGACATTGATAACTAGGATTGTTTGCAATGTGTGCTGGCTAAACAGTGACAGTACAGAGAATGATATGCGCCAGTGAGTTCTGACTGGCTTTCGTGCACATCTCCCTCAGATGTCCATCCGGAATCATACATGGTGCCAGTGTTGTTTTACGCACGGTTTGGAGGCCCATTAGTGCTCAGGATTCGAATTCCCTGTGTGGGACCCAATAGATGATATGCCAAAAAACGCGCAACTAGACTTGAGTGGGCATTGCAGAGTGGTTGCATGCAAAGTTCAAAGTTGTACGGTTACCTGCGACTTGTGCTCCTGCAGAGTTCAGGGCCTACCATGTACACATAATAGCATAATTTGTATACAACTTGTGTGCGATGCCCTCTCAAATCATATGTAAACAGAGACACCCATCTTCTTGGCCGGAGACTAGATGTAAAGCCGAATGACAGGACAGGCAAAGCAGTGGCCAAGCCAAAAATTAGCTACGGCTTCTCCTTCTCTACAAAGCGAAAAGTACAAACTCGGCGACAAGTGTGCTGGATTAAGATATACAAAGCGAAGCGATAAGGCCACGGTAGAATGGCCAAAGTCAATCATGGTATGCCATCCAAGACACCTCCTTGACAAAAATCGCTAGAAAGAGATTGAAACTGCCAGCTAACCCATGATGCCGAGAACCAGCTAAGATGCGATGATACTAGCTAAATACTTCTATAGGCTTTCCCCCATGTTCCATTGGTTCCATTTTGAATTATTCTATAAATTTTACCATGCCTAGGAATTTCCACCTTTCTGTAGCGCATCCTATTGTTGAGTTCGAAACAGGACGACTGACGACATATCCAGACATTACAACGGGAACAGGTTAGTGGGAACGACATTTATTATAGACGACGAGACAAGAGACCAAGACGAACGAAACGACTACATGGTGATTATTAACGATTTTTTTTTTTTTTTTTTTTTTACTAAAAAACACAGCCCTACTAATAATCAGGGGAAGAGGACAACTGAAATGACGCTGGACAACAAGACAAAGGGGAGTAGGGGCGATGTGCCGATGTGGTTGAGAAAAGAGAGAGAGAGATCAAGTCTGAACGGCAAGATAAAGGGCCTGGGTAGCTATGGCAAATATGGGCGCGCAAGTAGCTACCCAGGCCAACGGAACAAAAGGAGACAAAAGGTGAGTACGTAAGTGCATGAAGGCCAGCTAGAAAAGGTACGGGAGGAGGTACCTAACATACCACCCCTCCATGAAAAAAAATCCCGCGTCCTCGCGGAGAGAAAATAAAAGAGAGAACAAGATTTAAAAAAGAATGACTGAAGGAGAAAACACACGCACACACACACACCGCACGGGCCTCACAAAAGTGTGTACTAAAAAATGCACTACAGTCTACAGATCATTACAACCGTCAACGTTCCTGTACTACTCATACTATAGTGTGTACATTGCCAATAACAACGGGCCCAAACGCCCCTTCAAAACATGGCACAAAAAATAACTATTGGAGTTCGACGAGGGACTTGAATTGTATTCTGAGGACTAGTATTTTGCACGGCTAATAGAGCCTAGTTACACTTTAATATACGACATAAATAAGAGAGCGTGGCTCACCATGATCGGACCCCTATAATTAATGAAGGACACCCGCGCGCACACACACTACAAATAAATTCACGAAAAACAATTTGACGAAGAAGGAACGCATACAAAAAAAGAAAGAAAGAAAGGTACCTGACCTGCATGGCTTGAACGAGACGAGGTTGACATAGACGAGACGAGGTTGGCGTAGGAGAGACGAGGTTGATAGAGACGAGACGAGGTTGGCGTAGGAGAGACGAGACTGACATGGACGAGACGAGGTTGACATAGACGAGACGAATGGTGGTTGAGGACGGCTGGGCATGGGATGATCTCAGGGTCGTGGGTCGATCAATAATCGGGCGCCAATGTTGAGTTCGAAACAGGACGACTGACGACATATCCAGACATTACAACGGGAACAGGTTAGTGGGAACGACATTTATTATAGACGACGAGACAAGAGACCAAGACGAACGAAACGACTACATGGTGATTATTGACGAGTGAGAAAAGAGAGAGAGAGATCAAGTCTGAACGGCAAGATAAAGGGCCTGGGTAGCTATGGCAAATATGGGCGCGCAAGTAGCTACCCAGGCCAACGGAACAAAAGGAGACAAAAGGTGAGTACGTAAGTGCATGCAGGCCAGCTAGAAAAAGTACGGGAGGAGGTACCTAACACTATCGATCACAGCTATTGTGCTCTACAGCATTGTTCCTCAGGATTCTTAGCTTTCTGTTTCTCTTTCTCTTTATCATCATCCTGGATGGCACAGATGAAGTAGGCATCCCCGCTTACATCGCGATAGTTCTTATTATAATAATAATAATAATAATAATAATGTCTCTTTCCCTCAAACCAGTTAATAATAATAATAATCATAATATGTAAATAGGCGTCGAGGCGACAATAGTTTTAGAATTGCGATCAACAGAACGAGCTGAACCGACATTTTCACAAAGGCTTTTATTGTATTCAAAAAACGAGTGTATCTGATTTTGTGTGTACCTCAATCTGAAATATGTAAATAGGCGTCGAGGCGACAATAGTTTTAGAATTGCGATCAACAGAACGAGCCGTCGGTTCAGCTCGTTCTGTTGATCGCAATTCTAAAATAATCATAATAATAATAATAAGGCACTTGTCATAAGTATCCGAACGTTTTCGGTCCCTTCTCATCAAGGATTATACCGGGAATGGCTCAAGTTGGAAAGACTAAAACTTATATAGCGTAAAGATAATTAGATAACAACACTCGTGACAAGGTGGAAAATTATCAATTTTAGCACGACACAAAACTCGAAGGAAAATAATAATAGTGACAACAACATAGTGAGCAAATTAAGTTACATTGTTACCACCTCGACGAGGAGTAACACCAAACAATTGTAGCGACAACACTTTTTCTTTCTGTACGCAAAGTTCAGGATCTAACTTACGGATATACAAAGCTTCTAACACAGCCAAATGCAACGCACATCTACCAGGTGACAGTATTGAGAAAACATTATCACTGTACAACTGACCATTGCCCAGTGGTGCTCCGTTTACCCTGGGTTGGCACCGGTTCTGCGCGCGTGGAGAAGGATGTTCGTGGTATCGTATGTCCATCATATCCGTGCGTCAAGCTGTACGTCATATTTGGGACAGTGCGTTCAGTGTGAAGAAGGATGTTCTACCTACCCTTAGTAAAAGTAACCTTATCTATTTCTTTCAATGCCGACAATGTGAAGATCGGTATGTAGGTAGAACCCTTCAGCCCCTGGGCGCACGCATTCGTCAACATGTGCCGTTAAGTTGTGTTCCGCTTGATGCGCGCGATTGTCGTCCTCGCCGTGGTCGTCCTCCAAAATGTGCTGTCCAGTCCATGGGTGCATCTTCCTCTTCCCGTGAAGATGTGACTGCATGCCCATCCTCCTCTGCGTGTGTAGGACACGGGCCAGCTGAGAACAGCATAAAAGATGGTGAAAGACCGACACGTAAACCACCGAAACTGACAAAGGATCTGTCGGCGTCGGAAAGGGTGACGAGAAGACAAGTGAAAATACGGACTGGTGAGGACGAACGTACAACGACAACGGAAGTGACAACAACAGTCAATATTCGAAAACGTGGTACACCGCGAAAACAAACCTCAATATCTGACACCGGACAAGTTGGAGTAAGAAGCTCTATAGAAATCCGCAATGGAGGAGACGTAGCTGAAAGGGCACTGGGTTTCGCGCACCCAACGGTTAGTGTCAAGAAACGTGGAAGGCCGCGGAAACGCGAAGAGACGGATAGTGGTGATGCCACGAAGAGGCGAGATGACGGGACATTGGAGGAGACAACACCCAATGGAGCTAAGTATCGCACTTCGTCAATAAAGCAACATCTGTCAGCCCGTACCAATTGTCGTGAGTTGTACAGTGATAATGTTTTCTCAATACTGTCACGTGGTAGATGTGCGTTGCATTTGGCTGTGTTAGAAGCTTTGTATATCCGTAAGTTAGATCCTGAACTTTGCGTACAGAAAGAAAATGTGTTGTCGCTACAATTGTTTGGTGTTACTCCTCGTCGAGGTGGTAACAATGTAACTTAATTTGCTCACTATGTTGTTGTCACTATTATTATTTTCCTTCGAGTTTTGTGTCGTGCTAAACTTGATAATTTTCCACCTTGTCACGAGTGTTGGTATCTAATGGACCGTATGCGTGTTAAAACCAAATGGCGTCACGATTTATTGAAAGTGGTATAGTTGGTGGAACGAGTGTTCAAAACCATTTGAACTTCATACTGTTCGTCTTCTTTTTGACATGCTCTCTTTCCATCGTCCTTAGCTTTTGTTTGTTGTGAGCTGTTTTGGCTTTCTCCTATACCTCTGGGGGATGCCAAGTGATGGTTTTGATAGGCTGGTGAGGGCTGTGAGTGAGACGTTGCCGATCGGCGTCGTCCTCGCTATAGCGATGAAAATACTAGTCACTGCGAACCTGGTAGATATCACAACACGTCAGAGCGTCTAGGAGCAAAGGAATCTTGGGTTTTCACTGGAATCTAGTTCCTCCAGCATCGTGTAGCCCACCGTCGGTGAATGGCCGTCCAGAAAGGTCGAACCTGGTCTTCTGCAGCATCTCGCAGTCCTGCGAGGCACACTGAATACGCCTGTCATGTATTCTACAAATAAAAATCACGAAGTAGTGGATTCTATAGTGATGAGTCTATCCTGTACGCTGCAAAAGACACAGGAAATGTGACTGGTGTCTGTACACTGGACGCCAATATCCCAGTCTTCTCCTGCAGGATCTGTTTGGCATTGACATACCGGTATGCAGTGGGTCGACATTGGCCTGGTTTGGCAGGTATCTGCCTGGGTGGATGTAGCAGGTTTGCATTGGCTCGTCGTCCAGTCCAACATTTTCCTGTAACTGTGGAGTACCAGCAGGGTTTGAGAGGTTGCTCATGCTGTGAACACATCTCTACTGCCTGTCTCGTCCTGGAAGTGCCGTCTCGCCGCTTCCTTGCTCTACAGTCGCGCTTATTTCGCTTTGTTTCGTGGTGCAGCTCAAAACCTGCCCAAACAACTGTGAGCTCGCAACATGGTATGGACAAATTGCGCCACTCATGCTGGATGACTAAAACCGGGATAGTCGAGTAAGCGAGTTTACTCCCTGGGCCATGGCAAGATCTGTTCAGCGCGGGCTATTCCAACCTCCAAGTGCATAGTCACCGATCGATCCATGCGATGGTGGTTGACCTACAAAGAGCCAAGGTCTACGAGTACTACTATTGAATGCTGTCTACATGCAGTCAACAAAATCAAAGTACCTCAGTATGCCCCAGAATAGGGCATATGCATCTATAGCATGACACAACAGGGGTTCTGGCGGCACCTGTCAAACAAGCAGTAGCGACTAGTGCCAGCTACCTATTGGAGGCTAGCCGCTACAGTCTGTCACTGGAGATAATTATTATGTTCACTGTTTAGACTGAGCACAATCAATGATGCCCAATCAATCTGCCCAACGTGTGTTCTGTTCCACCTAATTATAACGTCCCATCGCATAAACCCTACTACACGCACATGTCGTCACTCTAGCACGACTTGTGTTATTGTTTATTTTGATTCGCACGATAGATAGAGCACAATAAGCGTTAACTTGACCGAAGGATAAAGGCGACTGCAGATAGAGGAACACATCGAGGTACAGGTACCGGCATCAATACAGTATCAGAGAGAAACAAACAAAATTGAGAGGTACGCAGAAAAACTCTCGTAAGCCCAAGGGGAAGTGGTTGATGAGGGATGAATGCACTCCCCACGCTCATCTACACTGTTCGTGGAAATGCACACATACATACAATAATATACAACATAGCAATAGCATGCACAGAACCGAACAATTTCATGTTCACACATGCAAGCACAGACCTGAACATTAGTACCAAAAGCCGATACAGACAATATCCCCATACACACAGACGCACACACACACACAATGTCCCATGTATGCGCCCGTGGCGAGAAAAGCACGCAAATCTACAAATGCACTGGATGTGAAGTTTCACCACAGATATTCTCTTATAGCAACGATAGCGGATCTGATTCTGAATGAAACACACACACACACACACACACAATACAATCATTGAATGCCCATCCGCAGATGATGGCAGGTCCTGAAAGAACAGGCAGTGTTCCAGTAATGGGGAGCAGAACTTCGAGTGGCGAGTGATGTATACACACACACACGTGCGTGCGCAGGCACACACTAAAGTATTCAGAAATAGAATCGACATTGTAGTATTCATTGATTGGGGAATGGAAAATAAAATAAAACATTGCTGTAGGTTATTGTTGTAAGGACACTGGGAGCACAACAGGAAGGTAAGCAACTTGCTTTGAAGCAAAGAAAGTTAATATTCCACGGATCTCAGAAGGAAGGAACGTTCCAGAATGCTGCACTGGCAACAGGCGGCCTGCATGTGCGCGGCCCCTGCAGTCGGTCCAGCTGCCGGCCTTGCAGTGCTGAAAAGAATGTGCAGTACAGCATGTCACATATAGGCGCTGGGAAGTCCTAGTTATGTGCTCACCTACACCACGATGCACCGATCTTCTGAGCTACTTTGGCAACAACTTTGTCCACTTGAGACTCCCATGGGCTGAGCCATTCGTTGAGGGCTGCACCAAGGTGGACAGCAATGACCGCTGATGGCAAGGCAATCCATGACACACAGTCACTAGGGCATCGTCAACATGGCGCTGAGGCTGGATCGATAAAATCAACCTTTGGGCTGTCGCGGGGTGGACAACGAGGCCGCTGTCTCGAAGCTAGTCAGTCAGCCTGGTCACCGCCATTGACGAACCAGTCGCCACCGCCAGCAGTGGCGGTAGGTTGTGACAAGTGTGGTGCAATATTGTCAGCAAATTCAGTACTTAGGATAAGATGAGTGACAAAGGGAACGTTGTGTTTGATAATATTGAAGTGAACAGGGATGATCACAAACCCTGCGCGTACTCCACCGTGAGTTACAAGAAAATTCCGGACTGGACGACAAGCAAACGCCAACCTGCTACATCCAACCAGGCAGATACTATTACGATAGCTGCCAAACCAGGTCAATGCCGACCCACTGCATAATGTCAATGTCAAACAGATCCTGCAGGAGAAGACTGGGGTGTTGGCGTCCAGTCACTGAGTGTACAGACACCAGTCACATGTCCTGTGTCTTATGCAGCATACAGACTGAGCCTCATCACTGTAGAGTCGACTATTGCATGAGTTATATTTGTACAATACATGGCAGGCGTACACGGTGTGCCTCGCAGGACTGCGAGGTGCTGCAGAAGACCAGGTTCGACCTTTCTGGACGGCCATTCACCGACGGTGGGCTACACGATGCTGGAGGAACTAGATTCCAGTGAAAACCCAAGATTCCTTTGCTCGTGGACGCTCCGACGTGTTGTGATATCTGCCAGGTTCGCAGTAACTAGTACTTTCATCGCTATAGCGAGGACGACGCCGATCGGCAACCTCTCACTCACAGCCATCACCAGCCTATCAAAACCATCACTTGGCATCCCCCAGAAGTATAGGAGAAAGCCAAAACAGCTTACAACAAACAAAAGCTAAGGACGACGGAAAGAGAGCATGTCAAAAAGAAGACGAACAGTATGAAGTTCAAATGGTTTTGAACACTCGTTCCACCAACTATACCACTTTCAATAAATCGTGACGCCATTTTGTTTTAACATGAATATCGCGGATTATCTTTACGCTATATAAGAGCTAAAGAGGCAGCGGAACCAGATACAGCACAAGATCCGTTCCATTCAGCGGGCGGATGCCAATGAACGCCTCGACAGACTGGCAGAGAAGGTGGAGCAGGCACCTGACTCAGCACAGATGTTCCTTGCTGCTTCGGCCATGAAAAGTGGATCTCAGCCATCCAGTATCATGGTCAGCTCTGCTGATGGCCACATTTTGGCTTCAGATAAGCAGAAGGCAGAGCGCGTCACGGAGCACTTCAAGGATCTATTCTGTAGAGATCAATCAGCTGCTATCCAGAAGCCAGTCCCTCACCGGCTAAGTGTGGCAGTGTCTCCAGCGGAGGTGGAAACAGCGATGAAACGACTCAAAAACGGAAAGGCTTGTGGGCCGGACAAAGTCCCTGGAGAATTACTGAAGTATGGAACATCACAGCTATCCATCGTAGCGGCAGACATCATCAACCAAAGCGTAGCAGAGGGTGCCGACATGTCATCGTTCATCGGACTTGGCACACTGATTCCTTTACAAAAACCAAAAAACCTAGAGGACCCGTGACTAGCCTGCGTCCCATTGTCCTCCTGAACACCATCCGAAAAGTTTTCTCCCTTGTAGTGCTCTGCCGAATCGCAAAGGACGTTGCTCGTTATGTTGGTCCAACTCAATCTGGCTTCAGACAAGGCCGAAGTACAACAGATGTGGTATGGACACAGCGATGGATTGCGGCCAAGGCGACTCGATACAACTGGGAATGCCACATGCTGGGGATTGACATGTCCCGTGCGTTCGACACGATCGATCGCACCAAACTGTTAGACGTCATGGCATTAGTGACTGGCCCCGATGAAGTGCGCATGATCCAGCACCTACTCTTCCACACACAAATATCAGTGAAAGTAGGAAAGGCAACTGCCAATCCGTTTCTCAGCACCATCGGCACCCCCCAGGGAGATGGCTTGAGCCCTGTTCTTTTTATTTGTTACCTGGAGGCAGCACTGCGCCAAGTGAGAGCAAACCTTCCCGAACGCCCTTTCGCCGACCGTCACATACCCGGAGAAATAGGTTACGCCGATGATGTGACATTGTACTCAACCAGTGAGGAGTGGCTGAAGCGAAGCCTCCCCATCATTAGCGCAGAACTCGGGGATTGGTCCCTTACAGTAAACGAGACCAAGACCGAATTCTTGCATCTGACATCAACTTCAGACTCCTGGATGTCCAGCAGGCAGCTAGGGTCCCTCATTGGCGACAGTGAGGACCTGGAGCGGAGGAAAGACCTCGCTTCGAGTGCATACGGCAGGATGTATAGCCTCTGGCTGAGGCGTGGGAAGGTCAGTGAGCAGAGGCGCATCCGCCTGTATAATGCCCCGGTTCTGCCCGTTCTTTTGTATAACTGCGGCGCATGGGGGCTCACGGCAGCACAAGCAGAATCGCTTAACGTTTTCCACCGGAAGCAGCTCCGACGGCTCATTGGCATAGTCTACCCAGCCAGGATGTCAAATACTGAGCTGTATGAGAGGTGCAACACGGAACCACTATCTGACATCGTGGACAGGAGAAAATGGCAGCTAACCGGCCATATTCTCCGTATGGACAGGGATGCGCCGCCATGGATCGCGCTGACGGGCTATTTTGCGGGAGATGCCAAGGCTGGGCGTGGACGTCCAAGGACATCCATTGCGACGCGCATCACAAGCGACTTACAGAGGAGGAACATCGACTTGAAGCGCAGCAGTCAGCTGGGGAATGTGAGGGCCATCGCTCTGGACAAGCTTACATGGAGAAATCTGGCCGACAATCCATGATCTGGCGTCACAGGTCATCAGTGCGCCGTGTTAATAATTACCTTGATAATGGAATTTGATCATAGGAGATAGGACAGAAGCGGAACGTATAATTATACCCACATAATTATATTATTACGCGTGCTGTGGTATTATTATTATTATTATTATTACGAAGTAGTGGTTGCGACTTCGGCGATGATTTGTAAGAAAGGTTTGCTCCCCACACCGGTGTGGGGAGCAAACACACACCGGTGTGGGGAGCAAACCTTTCTTACAAATCATCGCCGAAGTCGCAACCACTACTTCGTACTGTTGTGCCCAGCGCGGGCTTGCGACTAGTTGGTTTGGAGGTGACAGCGTTGCGAATGACCGAGGGTCCTCGACGTCTGTCTCACCGTCCAGGAGCGACACTGACTCACGCTACTATCTGGTGTTCACGAGGTGTTTGTCGCGCTGGAAGCGGAGCGTCTCTGTAAGTTTGTATCCCTGGTGATGTTTGTGCCTGGAGAGCACTATATAAGTGGTGCTCTTCAGGCACAATCTTCCTCAGCCTACTCAAGCTCAACTGATGAGGGGTGAATTCCCCGAACCACTGTGTATTGAGCAGGGAGTGGTGCTTTCTTGCAGGTTTGCCGAGTCGAAGGTTCGATGGACTTCTCGTGTGCTCTGGATGGCAGTCGTGAGTCAGTCAAGTGTCAAGTAAAGTCGGCGGAATAGCGCGAGCTCCGGTGTGGGGAGCAAACCCTTTCTTACAAATCATCGCCGAAGTCGCAACCACTACTTCGTATTATTATTATTATTATTATTATTATTATATAAGTTTTAGTCTTTCCAACTTGAGCCATTCCCTGTATAATCCTTGATGAGAAGGGACCGAAAACGTTCGGATACTTATGACAAGTGCCTTATTATGACTGGATGTGTGTTTGCGTGGATACTTGCGACCCATAACTTACCTTCGTTTTAAAGTATTATCCGCCTCCGACCTCTTTAAAAAATAATAATAATCATAATAAATGCTTAGGAATGGACCTCAACTCGTGGGATGCTCGCCATACTACCGTGACCGTTACTAAACTTCCATAGCCTATGAGAGTCAGTTGAACAAATAGATGAAAAACTTGATCAAGAAGCATCTCACCTCCGATAGTTAATCAACAGCAGTGCTACTGGACAGTGTGCAGGTCTTGTTGACTAACGATGCAGCAGCACTCTGGCCTGCGCCATACTGCTTTACCTCCGCCACACTGAATACAAAGCACAGAGCAATTAAAAGGCCAATGGGCATGCAGAGAGTGATCCCGTTGTGCCTTCAGTATCATGGCGTTGGGTAGAACGGCTTTCCCAAGTGACCGTTTATACGTTTCTTTACTGTGGTTCGAAACAGCCAGTACAAACTCCACTTGGCAACAATTGCTTTCACAGTGGTGGCGCCTGAAGACGAAATAGATATTGGAGCGTCGCGAAGCAGGACTAAGGTTTTATCTGTAGCTGAGCGGAACCAATACTCTGAACGCAAGTACAGACGTATGCGTTACAGGTGTTGCTCTGAGAATACAATTCTGTATGTCATGTGATCGCTTGTAAAAATTACCAAAGCCGGATTTTAATCGAAATGTAAGTTTGTTGGAGAGACGAGGTGACATGGTAGAGTAGTTGTAATCATCTGTTCAGCTGTAATTTAAGAAAGGAATCACGCTCTAACTGGAGAATGTAGTCGTGAATTATGAATGGACACATGCCAGAATCCTACTGGCTTGCTACATGTACTGCAGAACACGTTCGTGGGGTCTTCTTCAGTCTCACCAGTGTCACGTCTACTACCAAACACATATGTTACTGGCTCCTGAATCTGTTGCATTGTCCGTCGATTTGCCACTACATTGTATAATGTGGAGCGAGACGATATTTGCGTGAGCGATAAACAGATGTTTCTTTGGGGCAGGTGAACCTTCGACAGGCCTAGAGCCACCGGGTCAACCTTTACAATAATAAACACATTCCAATACAAATGAGTGGATCTTCAGATACGAATCCGGAACGGAATGCACATGGCACGCACCTTGTACCATGCATGGAAAACTTAAGAGAGCATGTCTGAGAATACCAAAGAATGTGTGCAAGTGGATCTCTCCAATTTCGCTCAAAAATTTCAGGTAGGTTCCCTTTGGGGTGTGGATCGATTGTGCAAAGCCCTTGAAAAAGTTTCAGAAGGGAACCTTGAAATTTGCATACCCCTCAAAAATGGCCGAAATATCACATTATTTGTGGGTCTAGAAACGAGTCACGCCACAGGGTATCCGAACAAGCTATGAACAAAACTCAATCAAGCCAACATTGCCTCACCCTGGAAGAGTTCCTGGAGCAGTCCTGCTTAGCCACGCCAGGATCCCAGAAGACGAGGTCAATCACCCCCTGACGCCACAAATGATCGTCTTGAAAATAACCAATTTACAAGCGCTGGCAAAACAGCCAGCTACGTCCTCAATTGGCCAGAACTATACACCGGCAGATAGTAGAACACCTCTTCTAGCGCTGAGGACATGTCCCCCATCTTCCTTTTGGGGTTTTCTTGAAATAAACTTTTTTGAATTTGTCCACTCGACCATGCTGAAATATGGCCAAAGTCATACCTGCGCAGGAAAGCTCGCCCCTCCACGACGTCTCCTCAGCAATTTCTACTCCAACACGACTCCCAAGGCCGCAGAAAAAAGTGTATTGTTGACTCTGACAAGGAAAAGAAGCGGTGATCACTTGTCACTCCGAATGACAAGCTTCTCCTTGCGCCACCAATAATGTTTTGGGCGAGTTGATGCAAAAGTGACTGAAGTCCTGAGCGTAGTTTTTGAATTTTATTGCAAGATGCACGGTGAGATCGCGTGCTCTGTGACGTAGGATGACGCTTCCGGGGTCACAACACGCGCCCATCGATCGCGAACCTCACGTGTCTGGAACGCTACTCGGAACAGACCATGACGGCAGAGGTAAGATGAGCTGCATTTCCTGCTTGATCTGCTGAGAACCCCCACAAACTGTCCTAGGAGTGTTGCAATGGCAACAAGCCGTTGAAATATGCCCCTCGTACAGCAGGGAGAATTATTTATCTTTTACACTTACCTCCTGCAATCCCAAACATAGCCCAACAGTAAAAGTCCCTTGTTTTCATGTCGATCCTCGACGAAAGCTGCTAGCTCGGTCGCTTTGTGTTGACTGGCGCGCGAGCAGCACTGGCTGCACACACTTATCGCGTGAATTGCATGACAGATTTCTTACGTCTTAAAGAATGTGATTTCATGATCATTTCACTGGTGTTCGACCTACATGGTCGGGGAAAGTCCCTGTTCGCAGGCCTACAACACGGTCAGCGTGTTCTTGAGCGCAGTAACAACACAAGGGTGATCACTTCCAGGCCAACGGGCGTTCAAGGCGAGTAACAAGCGCACTTTACGAAGGTGACTCTGAAATCTCGTGAGCGCGACTTGGCATTCTTGCGTCACAAGGCACGTGATTTCACCATGCCTCGTGTAGTAAAATTCAAAAGCTGCGCTCAGGACTTCAGTCACTTTTGCATCAACAGTCGCCTAAAAAAATATTGGTGGCGCAAGGAGAAGCTTGTCGTTTGGAGTGACAAGTGATCACGGCTGCTTTTCCTTGTCAGAGTCAACAATACACTTTGTTCTGCGCCCTTGGGAGTAGTGTTGGAGAAGAAATTGCTGAGGAGACGTCGCGGAGGGGCGAGCTTTCCTGCGCAGGTACGACTTTGGCCGTATTTCAGCATGGTCGAGTGGAAAAATTCAAAAAAGTTTATTTCAAGAAAACCCCAAAAGGAAGATGGGGGACATGTCCTCAGCGCTAGAAGAGGTGTTCTACTATCTGCCGGTGTATAGTTCTGGCCAATTGAGGACGTAGCTGGCTGTTTTGCCTGCGCTTGTAAGTTGGCTATTTTCAAGACGATCATTTGTGGCGTCAAGGGATGATTGCCCTCGTCTTCTGGGATCCTGGCGTGGCTGAACGGTACTGCTCCAGGAACTCTTCTAAGGTGAGGCAATGTTGGCTTGATGGAGGTTTGTTCATAGCTTGTTCGGATACGCTGTGGCGTGACTCGTTTCTAGACCCATAAATAATGTGATACTTCGGCCATTTTTGAGGGTATGCAAATTTCAAGGTTCCCTTCAGAAACTTTTTCAAGGGCTTTGCACAATCAATCCACACCCCAAAGGGAACCTACCTGCAAATTTTGAGCGAAATCGGAGAGATCCACTTGCACACATACGTTGGTATTCTCAGACATGCTCTTTTACCCATTCGAACCGCTCAAAATAAACGCATACTCAACCAACCACAATTTTTACACTCGTCCACACAGACACTCGTATTCATTGATGAATGCGTGCAAGGAAACATTTGTTTACAAAGTTCACAACCTACTCGTCAGAAGGGGAGAAGACAACAGAACATACAATAAAGAAAAAGCAGGGCGAGTAGGGGCTCAAAAGCAAGCCCGTGCTGGTGAGGCAAGCCCACAACACTGACATTTTGGTCTCAGCATTAACGTGGGTTCGAGCACCATCGCCTAAAAGAAGGGGTTATTTAGTGCAGTAAAAGACAAGAGGTGAATTAGAATGGTCCGGCAGACAGAGAGAGAGAGAGAGAGGGGAAAGAGAAACAGAGAGACAGAGAGGGAGAGAGAAAGAGAGACAGAGGGATACTTACGCACGCACACCTTTTTTTACCCAAAAGACACCTATGGAGGGATGGAACCCGTTGCCGAAATGCCTTTTCCCGGTCCCTCCCCAGTGGTAGTGCAACGCTGCCCGCATATTGAAGGAGAAAGTTCACAAGCACATTCACCGAAGCTGATGGGCATGGGCAACGAACTCCCTCTAGAAACTCATCTCACACTTTGCTCTCTGTGCATAATCTTGCCCCCCCCCCTCTCTCCCTCTTCCCTCCACCTTTACTCTCTCTCTCTTTCTCTCTTTATCTGTCTCTCGCCCCCTCTCTCCCACCCCTTTGTCTCCCTCTCTCTCTCCATCTCTCCCTCTCTCTCCATCTCTCTCGCTATGTCTCTCTGTCTATCCTTCTCTCTCTCTCTCTCTCTCTCTCTCTCTCTCTCTCTCTCTCTCTCTCTCTCTCTCTCTCTCTCTATCTCTCTCGCTCTCGCTCTAGCTCTTGCTCGCGCTCTCGCTCTCGCACTCATTCTCGCTCTCGCTCTCTCTCTCACTCTCTCTTTCTCTCTCTCTCTCTCTATCTATCTATCTATCCCTCTCTGTCTCTCTCCCACTCTCTCTCTCTTTCTCTCTAGCGCTCGCTCTCGCTCTTGCTCAATTCTCTCTCTCTCTCTCTCCCCCTCGCTCTCTATCTCTCGCTCTCTATCTTCTCTCTCTCGGTTTATAACAATACCCTGCAGGAATTGCCCCTATACTAAAGCACATTGCAATACAGTCGAACTCCCAAAAGGATACCAAAGTAAGGGATAATAAAACCTGAAACAATGGCACTGAAATAATACAAGTGTTAACTGTGACATGGAAGACGAGAAGAAACAAAAAGTCTTCAATTAACTGCATGCAACAAGCAGAGTTGTTACTGACAGGCAAGCAGTATGGTCAGCGCAGATAGAGCGGGCGGTTGTGGAAGAAAAAAATCGATTCGAAAAAATCAACGACTTTACATGGAAAAAAGGTAGAATCGGGTGGCAGGGTGAGGCTGAGGAAAAACAAATCACGGTTGGCGTCAGACTCGGCCAGATGCCGAGTTTACCGAATGAATCCGTAGGAATGGCACCACCCTTGAAGGATCAAGAAACGTGGAAAAAGGATAGTCCAATAAAACATTACACGGTGGTTGTGGTGTGGGAGGGGGGAGGTATGTTTGTGTTCAGTAGGTGAATGATTTCACTTGTTGGATTTCCGCAAATCGAATTAGAAACAAAGTGTGAAAACAAGTGATTTTGGGAGTCTTTGGTGCGGTTAACAATCCTTATAGTGTTCGTCTGGAAAATATGAAATAGTGGCAAGCGAGCGAAAGTGAACTGGCACCGAACAAATATTAGATGAACATGCTTTATGTTTCCCCGTTGGCTTTCTGTGGCACAGCATATATGGCAGAAGGATCAGGAGGATTAACCTGCAGAGTGCTGGTACCACCCACGTCTTCTCTTTTGCCAAGGGTCGTTGCGTTGAACAAGATGTTATCGCTGAGGGAGAGGGCTGGTTTTGCATAGATGTTAGGGTCTGTGTCTGTATAAGATTGTTGAGCCCCGTTGCTGGAGACTGTGTCCTGTTGGTTAGTATAATCGCCTTGGCTGTCTTTCAGTACTTTGAATACCTGATATGGCAGAGGCCTTGGAACCTGAGATGGAGACACACATCTGTGGGTGTCTGACCCAGTCGGCGTCGATGGATATGTGGCTGGAAGGGATAATCGAGATGACTGCTGGTTGGTGCTGGTATTGGTGGTTGCGGCATTGCGACATACTACTGGTGTTGCATAACCCAGACCACGGCGCTCCACATCATCTGGATTGATACACTTCTTATGGTTATGTTGGGCTGATTGTGCGGACTTCGATAAGACGCGAAGTGATTTTACATCCGTAGCACGACATATGGTTTCGATTGAATGTGTAGTGCGGGGTTGTTCATCACGCTTAGTAGCCGTGCGCTCCTCTGCGTTTTCGTAATGTCTGCGAACACCTGTCGTATCCTCCTTTTGAGGAACTGAGTAGCAGACGGCTGGAGCTTCTTTGGCGTCCTGTCTGGCAGTCTCTGTTTGCTGGCTTTTAGGATGTGACTGCACGTCCTCGGTTGATTGATCAAACATAGGCTGCACGCTGGCGTATGGCTCACCATCATCTTTCTGCCTCGTTTCCGTGTTGATATAATTCGCTGGCGCAGAACCATCACGGGTAGCATAAGTGTAAGTCTCATTCTCCGTACAACTGTCATAAAGAGCAGCAGCTTTATCAGGAGGTGTCTTGGGACGGTTGGTTGGATGGCTGTAACCAGGTCCAACGGCCGAGTACAGACCCGGATCCGTCAGTTCTGCCGTAGGTTCCTGGTCAGCGCCGTCAGGACAGTTGTGATTCTCGTAAAACTGATTTATCGGGTCTGGCCTATTTCGCGCGATTGTCGATTTACGAAAAGCGATGATCCACGGATGACTGCGTCCAGAAAGGACGGTTCCTGTCCGAACCAGTAACAGCAGAATAAAAACGCTCAGGAGGACAGAAAATAGAACCAAAGGAATAACAATGGTAGTAAGTAAATTAAATCCGTTGGACCCATCTTCTAGCTGTTCTACTTGGGCTGTTGATAGAGTCGATGTATTGGTCTGAGTGATAGAGGAGTCCTCTGCACTAATTGTCACCAGAGTGACTTGCACTGTATTGGACGCCGCAGAAGGGGTGGTACGTGTTGACTCCACAAAGGGAGTGGTCGTGACTGAATTTGGTACTGTAGAGACAGACATCTGCTGTATGGAAAGGCTAGAAGCTGATCTAGTAACAGCATGATTGGGAGGAGGGCTTGTTTCAGCAGTTGGCTGGATTACTGCAGAAATCACAAAGAAATGTGAAGAATGCATTGGTTCTCAACTCATCTGAGATGATGCTCAGATAAGTGATGGAAGTTTAATGAGCACGAATGGGCCCGACAGAGGTTTAAAGGTACAGCGCACGAATTTAAGCGAATACTTCATAAATATACCAGGTGGCGCAATGCATAGCGGGGAGACAGAATAGACCAATGCGCACTGACATCGTGTTGATTGATTTTGTATACGTTCAGTCACTACGACCGTTAAAGGTCTTTGTGACCAAGCGAACAGAACTAATCACGAACAAGGAAGCGAGTGAAAGTATGTTAGTAATGATGGCCACAACGCTAAACGTCTCTTTCAGTTTGTATCCCTGGTGATGTTTGTGCCTCTAGGAGTGTCTGCGTGCGCGTTCTGGGTGTGTAGGAGGGTTGAGTATTGTGTGTTAGCGTATGTGAAGGCACGTGGGCTTGTTATAAGAATGTGATTTCGAAAATAATTGTTTTGTTTAATATAAGGATTTAACGGCTTACCCTGGGCAATAATGGTCAATCCTCGTGCTAGTGCAATGTGCTCGACGGGGTATATTTCACAATGTGCCTTTCTAGCATAAACGGATATCATCAACTGCCTTCTTTTAATCCCCGTCATGTACTCTTGGAGGGTTTTGGTAACAGATACAGTTAAGCGCTCCAATCCAGTATTCCAGTGCTGTCCTCGCGAGGCTGGAAAAGGAAGGGTCTGAAGAAACTTGATGTTGTTATCACTTCCTAAACTCACTGCTACGGAGCATGATCCAAAGTACATCAGAGAAATCGCTTTGAATAACAAATGGCAAGGTGATGTGAACGTGAAGGTCTTGTTGTACCGTTTTGCGGTACCCGAATACAACGTAGCTGCTTTCTCATCAATCTCGGGCTGGATATATATCCAATTTTCATATGTCCGAATATCTCCATCTTCTGGCGCGCAGTTGGGCAGCATATTGGCATGAGGTACAGTGCATAGCAAACCTGCAGGCAACACACATAATACATTTACTGAAGGAACGAGTAAGACACAGCATTGGCAAGCGGTATTGGCATGGCTCAATCCCACATGAATCTTTCTACGAATTCGGAGCACATTCTCTAAGGTTTGGATTCTCATAAATTTGGATAAAACAAATGTCTTTCGTTTTCTGTGGGCTGATTTACTATTAATTTTAGTCTGCAATGAGGACCATTATGTTTCGATTTCTAGCTAAGCGATAGACTTTCTGTCTCTCACTGTCAGTTGTACGGCAAGATAGGCAAAGTCCTGATCTGCATCCATACGGTTAGGGTCAGTAACATGTCTACAAAAACTAGGTGTATGACTTACTGAAAGCAACTATCACGGCGGTGGTGCCGCCGAGTACACTGGCTTTCATCTTCCTATGGATGCCTTCTCTGCTGTCGATCTAAACCTACTACACAGATAGGATGGAAGGTGCGACAGTGACCCTTCGCTCTTTACGTAAAGTAGTATTGCATTAGCCTGATACAGTTAAGCTGACAATAATCAAATTCTTCAGCTAAAAAATGATTCGCGCAAAGCAGAAGACCAGAACTCTCCAGAAAATGAGGGCAAACCTAAGCAAGTCTTCAGGTCAAACATCGGAACTTCAACAGTTGCACGAAGAGTGATAGTAGCGGTCTTCGTGGCAGAAATTACCATCTGCTTACAATCCACGAGGACAACAAGTTTTGGTTGAACGCCAGAACTATGACGTTCATAACTGGGATCGTTTGCAATGTGTGCTTGCCAAAATGTAGTGAGAAACGACATGCACCAATGGCTTCTGACTCGCCTTCGAGCACACCAGCACGGTTTGGAACCCCATTAGTCACGCTGAGGATTCGATCGCCTGCAGTCCCTGCCGGGCCAATGATAATTGCATAAAACCGGTAAAATATTTCGTAAACTGGAAGAGGGTTACTGCGGGCTTCAAAAAAATCTTTTGTTGCGCACAACACGGTGTATGTGGAAGTTTAGTTCGTGACGCAGAGTCACCGAAGTGTTTAAGAGAGCATGTGTGAGAAACCAGAACATTAGTGCAAGTCGATATCTCCAATTTCGCCCACATTGTGCGGGTACGTTTCCTTCGGGGTGGATATTGACTGTGCAAAGCCCGCAGATAATATACTGAAGAGAACCTAGAAAATGACAAACCCTACCAAATGATCGAAAAATCGAAAAAAAATTGCCGCGGGACGTAGCTTGTGCATATTTTCGCTGCGCTCACCTTCCCCTCTTCGGTCCTACGTACCCATAAACCTTCCAAGTTGGAAGGCTGTTGGTTTGCGCACCGGAGATGTGTTAGAGCTAGGTCTCGGGTCGCTGAATGTCGCAGTAGCCTGTCATTTTGTGCCCTATTATTGTGCTTTCTGACCGTTTATCATCTTGTTGCAGTCGTGGATAGTTGCTGCATAACTCGTTCTCATGTGTTTCTTCCCTTTTTTTTACATTTAAAAATCACATTCATGGGACTACAAACCAGTTACGCCGCAGCGTACAAGAACAGGCTTAAAAAAAACTCCATGAAGTAAACCTTGCCTCACCCTAGAAGAGTTCTTGGGGCAGCATCGCTTAGCCACGCCAGCATCCCAGAAGACGAGGGCCATCATCCCGTGATGCAACAAATGGTCGACTTGAAAATAGCCAAACGACAAGCGCTGATAAAAAAGCGATCTATGTCCTCAATAAACAAGCACTATACAGCGGCCGATAGTAGAACACCTCATCTAGCATTGCGGACATGTCCTCAATCATCCTTTTTGGGTAATCTTGAAATAAATATTTTGGTTTTTTTCCACTCGACCATGCTGAAACAGTTCCAAACTCATACGTGCGTAGGAAGGCTCGCCCTTCCGCAACTTCTAGTCAGCCATTACTACTCCAACACCACTCCCAGCGCTGCGGAACAAAGTGTATTGTTGACTCTGAAAGGAAAAGCAGCGGTGATCACTTGTCACTTCAAACGACGAGGTTCTCCTTGCGCCATCAACATTTTTCGGTGCAACAGTTGATGCAAAAGTGACTGAATTTTTGGATTTTACTGCAAGAGGAATGATGAAATCATGTGCCTCGTGACGTAAAATAACGCCTTCTGGTGCACGACACAATGCCCACGATCACGACCGTTCCTGAGGCGTTATTCGGAACGGACCATGAGGGAGGAGGTTCGATGCATTATATTCCTGTATGCTCTGCTCCGAACATGCAGATACTATCGTTATAGCGCTAGCAGTATTTGCATTGGCAAGAATTCTTTGAGATATTTCATTTTGCAGTAAGAACAGGTATGCATTTTTTTCTCACAATAATCTAGCTCATCTCGAACATGGTTCAGCAGGAACCGCGGCTAGTGTTACATGCTAATACATGTAGATTTTCAACAGCAAGGAATGACCGTCGAGCATGCCATCGAGGTCGCTTGGAGTTGACCAGCGCGCTGCCTACACTGCTTGGGGTATGTGGCCTGCCGACATGAACATTGCAGATTTCTTGCGTCATGAACAACGTAATTAGAACCTACTGGGAACACGACAGGTCACCGCGAGTTGGATCACAGCGCGACAACTGACAGCCGCCAGCTCACTGTGTTGTCAACTCACAGCCAAAACAACTTACAGTGTCGTCAACTCACAGCCAAGACAACTCACAGCCACACCAACTCACAGCTCGACAAATCACAGCCACACCAGCTTGCAGTGTGGTTACTTTTCCTTGATTGGCTGCTTCTGATATCACCCTGATGCCACTGCTGGAACATGCTCTGGCTATAAAAGCTCACAGTTGAATAGAAAAATCGTTTTTGGTTATGGGTACGAGTGTCGTGGTGGAATCACTACACCATGGATTCTTTACCAAATTACGTTACGAAAACGCAGCGAGGACGAGAGAAAGTAGTGGAAATGCCTACGTGAAAGATAAAGACGGGTCCAGACAAATCAGTTACTGGAGGAAGAAAGAAAATGAAAATATGGTATTGCTCAGTGAGCAAAAGAATGAGTTTAGTTTTGACGTGAACGATGTTAGACTTTTAAATTAAAGAAGAGACTGTTTGTGAGGAGAGGTTAGGTCCAACCAGGGTAATACACTGTACCCTCTTACTCGCGTATCGACTGGTATATGTTCCGTTCTGTTCATTTCCACGACAAATCTCCTGCAAAGTTTTCTTCTTCGCCAATGCTCGGACAGATCGTACGCCTTCGCACTGTAGCCTCTCGTCTCCCTAAACGGATCCAAAGGACGAACACAAAACCCCAGCCTTTGCGGCGGCAACATCTTTCAGGAGGGAAAAACCAGCAACTAACCAGGAATCAACAACAAAACACGTGTAATAACGTTACACAGTGTAATTTCCGGCAGTAGTCTTGGTCCCGTCGCAGCATGTGTGTAGCATTCACGGGAATAGAAAACGGATGAGTCGTTTTATTACTACAGCCTGCACTGGCTACTAGTGCAACGATTTTTCAAAGACAAAGTCCACAAGCACATTCGCCAGAATAGCTGCCCCTGGGCAGCTCTCTCTCTCCCTCTTCCCCCTCTCTCTCTTTCACTCTCTTTCCCTCTCCCTCTCCCACTCTCTCTCCTTCTCTGCCTCTCCTTCTCTCTCTCTCTATCTCTCTCTTTTCTAGCACGTTTTAGTACAATACCCTACAGGAATTGTCGTTATACTAAAGGACATTGCAATACAGTCGAACTACAAAAAGGAAGCAAAAGTAAGGGACAATAACACCTGAAACAACGGCACTGAAATATACAAGTGTGAACTGTAACATTGAAGACGAAAAGAAACAAGAGTCTTTTAATGCATGCAACGAGCAGAGATGTTATTGACAGGCAAGCCGTATTGTCAAAGTAGACAGAGCGGGCGGTTGAGGAAGATAAAAATGGATTAGAAAAAAATCAGTGACTGTAGGTGGAAAATAGGTAGAATTGGGTGGCACGGTGAGGATGAGGAAAAAGAAAACAAAACCACGGTTCGCATCAGATTCAGCCAGATGCCGAGTTTTCCGAATCCGTAGGAATGCCAGCACCCTTCAAGGACGAAGAAACACGGAAAAGGATACTCCACTATAATGTGATAGGGTGGCGGGGGTATGTTTATGTTCATTGGGTGATTAATTTCACTTGGTGCATTTTCGCGAATCGAATTAGAAACGAAGCGTGGAAACAAATAAGTGATTTCGAAAGTCGTCGGCGCTGACAAAATTAACTTTAGTCCTGGTCTGGAAATTATGAAATATTGAAAAACTTGCGAATGTGATCTGGCACCGAAGTAATACTAGATGTACATGCTTCAAGTTTCCGCGCAGCCCTTCTGTGGCACAGCATATATGGCAGAAGGATCAGGAAGCTCAACTGGCACAGTGCTGATACCAACCACCTCATCTCTACTTTCAAGGGTGGATGCGTTGCACAATCCTTCATCGCTCGGGGAGATGGCTGGTTCTGCATAGATGTTAGGATCAGTGTCTGTATCAGGCTGGTCCGCGCCTTGATAGGAGAATGTGTCCTGTGGGTTCATGTAATCGCCCTGGCTGTCCTTCAATACTTTGAATACCCGATATGGCAGAGGCTTTGGGACCTGTGATGGAGACACACATCTTTGAGTGTCTGACCCAGTCGGCGTCGATGTAGATGTGGCTGGAAGGGATAAGCGAGATGACTGCGGGTTGGTGCTGGTAGTGGTGGTGGTGTTGGTATCGCGGCATACTACTGTTGTTGCGTCGCTCAGACCACGGCGTTTTTTGCGCTCCACATCATCTGGATTGATACACTTCTCCTGGTTATGTACGGCGGATTGCGCGGACCTCGATAAGACGCTACGTGATGTTACATCCGTAGCACGACATATGTGGTCGATTGATTGTGTAGTGCGGGGTTGTTCATCACGCTTAGTAGCCGTGCACTCCTCTGCGTTTTCGTAAGGTCTGCGAACATCTGTCGTATCCGCCTTGTGGGGAACTGAGTAGCAGACGGCTGGGGCTTCTTCGGCTTCCTGTCTGGCTGTCTCTATATCCTGGCTTTTAGGTTGTGAATGGACGTCCTCGATTGATTGATCAAACATAGACTGCACGCTGGCGTATGGCTCACCAGCATCTTTCTGCTTCGTTTCCGTGTTGACATAACTCGTTGGCGCAGCACCATCACGGGTAGCATAAGTGTAAGTCTCATTCTCCGCACAACTGGCATAAAGGGCAGCAGCTATATCAGGAGGTGTCTAGGGACGGTTGGTTGGATGGCTGTAACCAGGTCCAACGGCCGAGTACAGACCCAGATCCGTCAGTTCTGCCGTAGGTCCCTGGGCAACGCCGTCAGGACCGTTGTGATTCTCGTAAAACTGATTTATCGGGTCTGGCCTATTTTGCGGGACTGTCGATTTACGAATAGCGATGATCCACGGTTGACTACTCTCTGAAAGAAAGGTTCCTGACCGAACTAGTACCAGCAGAATAAAAACGCTCAGGAGAACAGAAAGTACAACCAAAGGAATTACAACGGTGGTAACCAAACTAAATCCGCCTGGCTCATCTTCAAGCTGTTCCACTAGGGTGGTTGCGGGAGTCGATGTCTTCACCTGAGTAACATAGGTGTCCACGGTGCTAGTTGACCCCACTATTGCAGTGTTCGTAACTGGAGTTTGGACTGAAGAGGCAGTTGTAACTGGAGCTGTTAGTGTAGAGGCAGTCGGCTTCTGTGTGGAACGGGTAGAAGATTGACTTGTGGTTACAGTATGGCTGGGAGCAGTGCTTGTTTCAGCTTGTTTCGGGATTACTGCAGAGAACACACAGCAATGTGGAGAGTGTACTGGTTATCGACTCATAATAAAACTGCAGATATTTTCAGAAACTAGTAATTACGGAAGTTTCATAAGCAATGGGTCAGACAGAGGTTTAAGATGCGGCGACCGCATTCAAGGAAAAAGTTGAAAATATACCAGGTCATACATTACATAACGGAGAGAAAAAATGAATCAATGTACAAGGTCATGTTGTTGATTTATTTTTTATACGTTCGGTTTCTGCCACTAAAGGTCACGGTGACGACGCGAACAGATGTACTGACGAAAAAGGAAGCCAGTGAAAGTGTGTGATAGGCACATCGCAGCTTCTCGCCTGGATAAAAAAGCCACTGTGACTTTCATCGTACACCAGCTAACCAGATCACACCTCACATGATACAATTATATACAACAAATATTCTGTCATTTACATGTACTGTATTTACAGACTAAGAAGGAGAGAGAAGGGCTAAGTTAATGAAGGACAAAAGGACCAAGGAACTACAAGGTACTCTACATTGTCCACTAACACCACCAGTTGCTTCACATTCAGGTCATGCCATAACATTGCACGACACTGCCCAACGTCACTGATGTTCTACATTGTACAACTAACTGCCATTCATTCTAATAAAAGGCGCAAATTAATGAATTCTTCATACAGCCCTGTGAAAGTCTACATTTATTGTTGGCGGAGTGCTTTTTCCGAAAGAAAAAGAAATAGGAGATGGTTCGGAAAGAACGATATTGGGTGTGAGTAGGAAGACTTTTCCCATGTTAATAAGAAATGTTGCACTTTTCGAAAGAATATGTCTGGGAACGAGTAACTACATTATTGGTCGTATTACTATGCCGCAGTTTCGTAACTTTTTTGGTTTTCTGCCTATGCAAACTGTGTTTTTTTTCGCGCGGTGTGTGCTGTACAGTGTTTCGGCCCGTGGTAAACCGTATGTGTGTGTGTGTAAGTGGAAGTCAGAATATGTGGGTGTGTGCGTGTGTGTTTGAATGTTTGTGTGGAGTAAACGCGTACATATACATGTAGTTGTGCGGGCAAGTGTGCCTGTGGTACATGCATGAGAAAGCAAAATTTGAAGAATATACATGTATATATATATAGACGACTCATCTGGTGTGCAAGGATAGACTCGGGAGGAGGGCAAAGGATGAATGTATAGTAAGAAAAGGACCAATGACCTACAAGTTCCGCAACAACGTCTACTAACACCACCAGATAATAAAAAATCAGCTCATGCAATAACATTGCACGACACTGACCGATGGTGCTGACGTTCACGGTTAGTGTCCTGCAATGGGATCGCAACTGGTGGTGTAAGTGGATATTGTTTCGTAACTGGAAATTCATAGGTACTATTCTATGCTAATATATTTAATGAAACAAGGAAACTGGTGGCTCACAAGTTGTGCGTTAGAATCCACCAAATAAAAACCAGATTTGAACAGGCAGACATGCAGAAGGTGGCACCAGACAGAAAAGGAGTAATCGTTGGTGTACTCTAACGCATAACTTGTGCCCTACCATTTTCCTTGTTTCCATTTACATCGAAATAACATATTCCTTGGCTCACCATCTGAGTTCTTAAAATATATAATAATATGTTTATGTTGCGAAACACAGGTTATCAAGCGATGGATAGCCGGGAAATTCGTTGTTACTTACTCTATATGTTGTGAATATACTTCGAAGTACGAATTTAACAGCTTACCCTGGGCAATTATGGCCAATCCTCTTACTGGGTAACTGTTCTCCACTTTGTATATGATACAATTCTCGTCTCTGGCAGAAATGGATATCATCAACTTCCTTCTTTTACTCCCTTTCATGTGTTCGTGGAGCTTCGGGTAGCAGATTGCGTTAAGCTTTCCTGTGCAGTAAACCACATACGCTTTGGCCGTATTGGAAAGTCAAGAGTCTCAAGAAATCTGTTATCACTGCCATAACTCACTGCTACGGAGCATGATCCATAGTACATCAGTGAGATCGCTTTGAATAACAAATAGCACGGTGATGTGAAGGCGAACGTCTTGTTGTAGAGTTTTGCGTTACGCAAACTCAACGTAACTGGTGCCGGGTCAACTTTGGGCCGGATGTAGATCCTATTTTCATAGGTCTGTATATCTCCATCTTCTGGAATGCAGTTTGCCAGCATATCAGCGGAGGATCCAGTACATAGCACACCTGCAGGCGAAAATATGAAATAAATTATATTAAGGACCGAGTCAGAAGCAGAATTGTCAAGGCTCAATTCAACATCTACATTATTCCCCGTTCTCGGAGCACATTCTGTGAGGTTTGGATTGTGATAAGGTAGGTTTAATAATAATAATTTCACGGTTCGCGTGAGACTCGGCCAAAGGCCCAGTTTTCCGCATCCGCAGGAACGCCACCACCCTCTTGGATCAAGGCGCAGATGCAGCTCCTAAACGGTGGGAGGTGAGTAGATCAGACCCACCACAAAGGGGTCAAAGACCGAAATCCCATTCACTGCATCCATGATAACTAAAATTTATTTACTTTCTCTCTGAGCTCCTTTGCTACTTTTTTTTGCCATGAGGATCATATGGCTAGACTTCTGGCTCCGCGATATGGTAGTCTTTTCTTGTCACTGTGGAGTGTAAGGCAAGATAGGAAACTGTGATTTTCCTCCATACGCTCATGTTCATCAAATGGAACTACACGAAGCATCATGTCAATAAGTATGTGACTTACTGATAGCAACTAGCAGGGCGGTGGTGCCAACGAGTGCCCTGGTGATCGATCATCTTCCAATGGATGCCTTCTCTGCTGTCGACCTAAACCCAATCCACAGAATGGATAGAGTGTGCGACACTGACCCGTCGTTATTTAAGTTAATGGTATTGCTCCAGCCTGGTACAGGGAAGCTTATAACTATCAACTGGGCCAGGTAAAATAATAATTTTCACCAGGCAGTAGACCGGCATACTCCAGAAATGAAGAATAAGTCTAAGCAACGATGATCTTCATTTCAACCATCGCAGCTATTCGTATTGTACGAGTACTGATAGTGGTCGTCTTCATGGCAGAAAACACCATCTGCTTACAATCCACGAGGAAGCCACGTTACAGATGAACGCCCGCGTTGCGGCATCATAATTAGCATCATCTTGAGAGAAAAAGCACACTTGTGTGCTTACCAGCCAGTCACTATGGCGAGAATGATATGCACCAATGGGTTCTGACTCACTTTGGGGCACAACTCTCTCGTAATCATACCTGTTTACAGTGTCAATTTCGCGTGATTCGGGAGCCCATTAGTAACGCTATAGTCACATACGGCTGCGTCCAAATACCCTTCACCTTGTGTGTTGCCACTATCGCTGTCTATGTCTCTGTGGATGCCAGTATATGTGGAGCGAGATTTACTGTGGGCTTCAACACAATCTGTTGTTGTTTCACAACGCGTTTGTGGAATTTCAGTTCATGAAAAAGAGGCAGTGAAGTTTTCAACGCAGCTGCTTCCTGTTTGTTGATGGCAATTCTTGCCGATCACCGTAAACTATTACATTTATAATCGTTGGGTAGTAAAATGTTCAATCGATTTTATGTACGGTCGTACACTTATGCAACTTACATTGCAATTTCTAATCAGCGGAGCTAATATTCGGTGCCACATAAAATCGCATAGAACGCTTTCCCTTTTAACAAAGCACACATTGCAGAAACTCAAGCAATCCTTACTTCCTAATTTGAGTAGGTAATGGTTTCGCCCAAATAATGAATTGATGAAGGGTTTCCTTCACCGGGTGCATGTTTGCACTGATCCTCGGGGAGCCCAAGACATATTTCGAGGTGCAAGGAGTGTAAATTGGTCTAGAATGAAAAGGTGCCATGTACCATCCAATGTTACTTCTAAAGCTTTCATCTAAGCAAATATGTTAAAGAATGGAATTAACTTATGACTATTGTCAGGCTGATGAAGTGCATCCTGAGGGAAATGTGAAATTCACGTCGCGAAAAAGACGGACTGCGGAAAAATCACAGGATATTGGAGATAAAGGAAAACTTTGGAGATCTTAATACAACAAGAACGGATACGCATTCTAATAACACATAACTTACACACTGGACGTAAAAACAATCCCAGTTGCAAAAGAGAAAGCAAGCCAAAGAATACGTAATCGGAAAACTATTAAGATATTTGGCCGGTAGTTCTTGCACAACATGGCCTTATGAGAACATAATACATTATTATTATGAATGTGTATGATCATGCGAATAGTTCAGGGTAGTTCGGCACAGAGCTCCCCTTGCATCAGAACGAGATTGCCTGTGCAATACTGGAAATTGCGTTATCGAGCCGAAACACATCGAAAAGACGAAACAGCGTCACATGGATGATGCCATTGCAGGGTTTGACATCACAACGTTCTGAAAAAGCATCGGTTTAAACGTTGCTGAGGGCTATAAAACGATTTGATCTTCATCCACTGTAAAAGCAGAACTGTGATGAACCTTATAATAATAGATAGCAAGAGTGATACACGCGCCTTGAAAGGCGAGAGAGAGAGAGAAAATGGATAGAAGATGGGAAGAGGGAAAAATTGGAAACTAGTAGGGAAGGGGGGAGGAGGAGAATTGTACACTTAGAGGTAGACGGAACAGCAGAAAGTGAGCCGCAGAGACATATAATAATAAGTAGACGAAAAAAAGGGAATATGATCGAGAACACAAAATGCTGAGACCTAGAGTAATGTTAATGGGCCAGGAGAGCCCTTTCGAATATCCTAATAGGCACTGTAAATTTGCGAATTACAAGTGCTTTGTGAAATTCATCATCATGGAAAAAATCGCGGAGTGGCCATCGACGGACCAAAGTGCGAATAAAAGGGAATGTCAACGTTGGCATGGCATTGTGAGATGTGATTCACATTTCCGGCTGTGTTCCTGATGATTAGCAAGGATGGCTGCAGGATCAATAAGGCTGACAAAGGCCTTGCTTGCATTAGGCTGTCTCAGGACTTGTGTCATCCGTCCATGTCTGGAGTGGTGTACTATGGCTCAAAGGTTTGACTGGCTCTGTATAAAAGTTTGGTTCCGCGCCAGTGTCCAGCTGGTCAGCCACGGGACTAGAGATGTTGTCCTGCGGGTTCGTGTAATCGCCCTCGCTTTCCTTCAATACTTTGAATACCCGGTACGGTAGAGGCTTTGGGATCTGAGGTGTTAATGCGCATTTGTGGGCTTCTGATCCAGTTGGCGTTGAAGTGGAATCTAGAAACGAAACGTCTGATGACTGCACGTTGCTAGCGGGATTTGGTTTGGAGCAAATTAATGCAGTTTTGTCACTTCTACCTCGACATTGGTCACTCTCAACGAAATCTGGTTGGATGCTCTTTTCCTGGTGGTCCACATCTGATTGCTCGGCTTTCGATGAAACGCAGACCGATGCATAGTCCGTCTCCTTCTCCACTTGCGCTCGCGATCCAGTGAAGCCATTGTTGGCTGGCTCTTCTTGGCTGGAAGTCGTACTCTGGTCTGTAGTCTTGTAATGGCTGGGAACTCGTGTCCCACCCACCTTGCGAGGGGAAGCGTAGCAGACGGTTTGAGCTGGGCTGGATTCATTTACATCTTCCTGTTCTTTACTAGGTCCATGTTCTTGGTTGTTTTGCGGTTGTGACTGGACACCCTGTTTGTGTAGATCAAACGTTGATGGTACACTCGCGTACAGATCCCCAGCCTTCTTCTGCCTCATTTCTGTGTTGATATAGCTCGTAGGCCTAACGTCGTCACAAGTAGCATATGTGTACATTTCGCTCTCTATAGCACCATCATTTCGTGCAGCAGGCATGTCAGGAGGTGTGGGTACATGGTCCGTAGAATTAACGTGGCTAGGACCATTGGCTGAGTAGTGAACTGTATTGATCATGTTTGGCGTTGGTTGCTGGTTGATTGCGTAGGTACCATCGCGATTCTCGTAAATCCGTTCTCCATGGCATGGTCTGTTCTTTGATTTTCGAACAGAGATGACACAAGGGTGATTGCTTTTCGACAAAAACGCTCCTGACCTAATCAGCAACAGTACAATAGTTATGGACAACAGCAGACCTACCATACTCAATGAAATTACGATGGGAGTGACTAAATTCAAAGGACTTGACCTATCATCAGACTGTCTGGTTTGGACGACTGTTGTCGCGGAATTTGGGTCCTTAGTCACAAACGGGCTCGCTGCATCAGAAGGAATCAAGAACAAAGTGGGCTTGGCTGGAGTTGACAGCGTAGACGAGAGCGTTTCTTGTATTGAATTTTCTGGTCTGGTTGGTGTAGCGTTATTGACAGATGTGGATATTGTAGACGACGCAGAAGCTGCAGAGAGCACAAAGCAATGCAGGGCGCAGAGACCAGAGAGTAATGATCGTCAGGAGATGATTAATCCCAACCATCCCATAGATCAAGCGAAAACAAGACATCTCTCGACAGCCAAACAGCCTTTGGTGGCGAATCCTGAAATAAATTTCAAAAACCATATAATAATTATGGTGAAAAGTAGAAGCACAACATGTTACGAGTTATGACTAACTGTCCACCTACGAAACCAGACCTTATACAGTCAGCGAGTGCGACAAAATGTAAGATCTGGTTACGTTGGTGGACAGTTAGTCATAACTCGTAACATTTTGTGCTTCTCTTTTTTAACCATGATTTAATTGGCTCACCATCGGAGTTGAACAAAATAATAAGTAAAGGAAATACATTTTGGATCAGACTCGGAGAGCCAGGTAATAAACTAACGGATTTTCTTTTAGATAATAGTATGGCACAATGATGGTCAATTGGATGAACCAAGTTTGCGCCCTACACACGTTGCTATCCCAGTTCTCACATCTAGAACTTGAAAGGGCATGACGTGGCAAGAGAACAGGTTTCGTGAATTTACAAAATATACTAAAACCTGACAAAAAACGTAACCTTGTGTGTTTCTTGCTACCCTTATTCAAACCTGCTGAAATCATTATACCACCATCTTGTTGCAGACAGTGGAATAACTGCAGAGAACTAAAAGTAATGCAGATTCGCGTGATAAGGTCAATTCAAAAGGCTGCCTTTATGCGAAGAGAATGGTCGACAAATGCAATATAGGGCCTAGTGCCCACACAAAACAAGAAGAACAGAGAAGACAACAGTTACACTAGTGAGCTAGAATTACAAATTGCACTGAATTGTTTGTTCTCCAAATTTGCTTTCAGTTGCCAATTACACACCACAGTGAAAACATGCTCATACTTTTCTGTGATAAATGTCTCCAACTTCCACCTACCTTATTATATTATTTTTGTGTAACTGTTACACCTACCTCGGGCAATAATGGCCGTGCAGTCTGGGCAAGCGGAATTCGGTAGGAAGTCACAAAGGTTGTTTTGTATTTTGGTCAATGATAGCGACACAGTCCAACCCCGATGGGACTGCATGTGATTGTAGAGAGTAGAAGATGCCGATTCCGATAGTCGCTTAGTGACTGTTATCCAGTCGTTTTTCACTTTTGCAAACTGAAATGTTTGGAGCAACCTGCTAATGTTGCCAATGCCATAGGTGAATGCAACAGAGCAAGACCCAAAATATTGAAGCGAGATCCCTGTCACCATCACAGTGCACGATTCGTTGAATATAAACGTGTGTTCATAACCAGCTCCCGCCCTTATCGGTATGGAAACATTTGGTGGCTTTGTGTACATGTAGAGTGTATTGCCATCGGTTTTGGCTCCTCCATTCCTTGGCACGCAGTTCTCTGATGCATGTCCAGATGAAACCGTGAACAACAACGTTATACATGTACCTGTAGGGAATCACACGAAAAAATATTATTCAGTCTGACTGCTGAAACATAATATCTTTTCAGCGCAAGCCTCTCCAATTTCACCTTTGGTGAGTGGAGAATTACTTTCACTCCACTACGTTAGTAGTTTGAACGTAATAAACGGGTACAATGGACTTGGAAATATACATAAATATAAAGTAACGTCATCTTGCAACATAGAAACAGCCCGCTGTCTGCAGAAAAATTTGGTATGACAGCGTATTACAAGGCGGTGGAACACAGTGTTCGGAAAGAGGATCCCGTACAAAAGCCATTCACGGTTGGTATGGCCCTGGTCTTACGATCATCTGAACCGCATGGGTGCTAGACCCGGTTCCGACTATTATTATACTAGGGGAGTTAATAGGGGGCGTTTTGCCAGTCTGTTTGTTGTTATGCAGGCGCGTTTAGTCTGAATCGATCTTCTTTCTTTAATTTAATACTATTTCGTTTCGATCTGTAAACTTCTGCCCATGACGTCCCTCTCCTGCTCCTTAGCTGACAACAACTACTGTCACTACCATGACACTGTCATGAGCAGGTTCTCTCTGTAGACGAGGTTGGTGATGTTCGGACGCGGCCATGCGTGGGCCTTCACCACTTCGGAGCACGCCAGCCCCACGGAGACTCTATTTTAATTGTAAAATTGAGAAACCGTTCTGCTGCCACTGATAACTGTTGTCAGATGACGAGCTGAGGGAGGGACGCCATGGGAAAGTTTAGACGAGACGACTGAGATCATCTGGCGGGGATTGAATTGCGGCCAATTATTGGTGTTGATAGCCAGTTAGTTGCAGAGGGTCAGTACCGTCGGTCAGTGTCGTGCAATGTTATCGCATAAGCTGATTTTGTAGTAACTAGTGGACATTATAGTATGCGTAACTTGCAGTTTTTTGCCCCATTTTTCTTTACTATTATTACAGTATAAAATATAGAGAAGCAGATCAAATCAGAACAAACGCGACGGTACAACAACAAGAAGACTTGAGCAACTCTCCTTATTAAGCCTATTTCACATTCGACGGGGCGGGACGGGACGCGACGTAAGGATCGACGGGAAGTGATAGGACAGTCTGACGGCGTCCAATGTGAACACCAGGAACGGGAACGCAACCGTACTGCCGTACAGATCGGGAAACGAGGTGAAGAGTTGGATCGATCCAACTTTTCATACCGTAGACGGGGACGCAAGCGTACAAAACGGCTGCATTTTGAGTGTTAACAGGAGACGGCGTAGTGCGCCGACTACTCCCGATTCGTACTTGGAAATTTTCAGAATTTCAAACACCGCGCTTCCCATGATAACTCGCAGAATGCCTAACACGACTTGAGTTGAATTTTAGCAAGATAAGGTCTGATGTCACATATGGTATTTAGGGATAGCTCACGAGCGTGACAGACGAACTGTTATATCAGTTCCTGGAGCTATTATTTGAATGGCACACCTTTCGGAGCTACTTTTTGGTCTTCATGAAAAGCTGTATTGTGAATTTGATTCCGCTTCATTGAAGGAGAAATAATTGAAAAGAAGTCCCGAAAAACAAGAAATTAGGTCCAAAAGTCACTGCGTCACGGACCGTGCCTTATGACTGTCGACGTTCGCTGTTGAGCGACGCAACGACTGCAGCATGTCGTGCGGTACGAAAAGTACAAGATTTTACAGCTCACCCCAGCCTTCCCCACAGGCCCTTACGTCTCGTACCGTCAGCGTACCGTTGAATGTGAACTAGGCTTTAACTCCCCTAGTATAATGAGGGTCAGAACCGGGTCTAGGACCCATACAGTTCAGATGATCGCAAGGCCGGTTCCCTACCAACCGTGGGTGTGTGTACAACGGGACACTGTTTCTGAACACGGTGTTCCACTGCCATGTAATATACTGTAAAACTAAAGTGTGTTTGTACAATACAAAGTTTATCTAACACCATGAAGAAATCTGTATCTTACAGGCGTCCTTAGCCAAACTTCAGGTGCAACGGGTTGTTCGAAAACTTAGAAAAATATTCAAAGTTGGCGAGTAATATAGACAGGCGGAGGGATTTCATGATAAGTCCTGTTTCACCTGGGTGTGCTACACCTTTTATGGGATATGCCACCATCTGATTTTGAAATATCTTCAAAAAACGTTGTCCTCCCTGGTGAAATTTAACTTTTCACTTTTGACACTCGTTTGGTTCTTTGCTGTTTCGCCAACAGCAACGAGCACCGCCGGTAGTACAAGCCCAGTAGCTCAGATACACATATCATATCATATCATAGGACTGTGACTTACATGTGAAAATCAGCAGTGGGCCAGAGAATCCAAATGTTTTGGAAATCATCCTTCGGGAAGACGGTAATGTCCTAGATCACGAAAAATTCTCAAATCCCTTGACTGGTAATAAAGTTATTTTCCGATTCGTGAAGAGATACCAGCAACTAGTGTTCTTGACAAGGACCTTGACAAAGTCATAACGCCCTAAGCTAATGTTCTTGGTTCGAGATGCAGCCTTTCAGGACGTAATAAACCTGCAAACGACGATGTGCATTTGGGCCAACGCGCGCGGCAGAGGGTATAGCAGAATTCACCATATGCTTATTTATTAGGAACCAAGGATTATATAATTAGACTCAATCCCCGGACACCTAGCTCCTTTTACCTTGTAAGGGCTCTCTAGAGACGCGAAGCATGACTACACTACCCAACCCTATTACAATGGGTCATACGTTTAAGCCTGATCGGAGAATCTTCTCGGAAGTCAAATGTGTTTTAACTGCGAGGCAGACAGGAAGTTTAATTAATGAGATCATCAATATTATAAATTTGGTCAGCCATTGAATTTTCCAGTGTCTGCGGACTTCAATAGATCTTAGTATTAGTGTACCGGTAGATAAGAGAGAATACGGGTTGTTCTGTTATTAGGTAGGTTTAGTCCCAAGTAATCCGTGGCTACTTTACGTGTGTGTACCACGTGATACTCGTGACCCACCTACAGACGTTTTCTGATTCACGACATACCGTGTATGGAGGCTCACCCACGTTCCGCCAGAACGTGGGTGAAAAACAGAATGGAGCGCGTTGTGGGAGCTGTGAGGGTGCTCAGCCGAAGTAGTTTCCGAAGCACGAAATCAAATTATTGGATGAGCTTCTTAGGCCCGGGTAGCTTCGTCTTTGACCAGGTTTGGGCCTTTCGCTTCATGCTTTTGTTTGTTCCGTGTGACTGAACAAAACATTGCAACGTGGATGCCCTTCATCCACTTTAGGGCCTGTCCACACTAGGTCATAAAAACGGCGTGCCGTTTCAGAGTACGTGACGTACACGCGGTGCGCTGTCCACACTTCTCTCTGTCACCAGTACCACTACGTGTACCTGTTCATTTTTGTCCGTCGGTGCACTACTGGCAGTATTGCACAAGTGACAATTACAAGGTTTGTAGCGTGGAGACCAAGCAAGTACTCCCTGGCTTGGTCTAGACCTACCCAGCTAGCTACAAAAACGAGTGGCTGCCCAGCGATGGCCATACTGACGCCGAGCTCAAGGAACATCACCCTAAACTCTGCTCCAGGTACGGAACACACTGTCGTGGCAGCGCAGCGTCAATTTCGAGCTCCGATATAGCAACGCTTGATGAACTAGTAGTGGTGGTGACCGCCGTGTATTTCCAGTAAAAGTCCCTGGCGTTGGCCTTCAGGTCGTCAATTTTGTTTATCACAACCGAACAGGGTTCTACTTCCTATCCAAACAGTTTCAAATTCTCGCTCGTCAGTGTATCTCTTTCTCTCTACTACACCTTCCTCTTCACCAGACCCAGAGATTTCTCTGCATATCCAGCCACGACTGTATCAATGTCGCCTCAGAGCCGTAGCTGAAATGGACGTGTGGCATTATGAAAACTCCAAAGCAAAAACAAGCTGCATGCAGCAGCTGAAAACAGCAAGAAAAAAAATGTGATCCGAAAACTCCACCGGTCGACTCTCACCCAACAAACACTGCGAAAACGGCACGTAGATGAGAAAAGTGCTTTGTACGGGGTCGTCGACTCACGTTCCGCGTGAATCCCACGTTTCCCGTTATCGGCCATTTTTCGTCACTCACCTTGGCAACAAGCGTGTTTACGGCGTGTTTACGTGGTTTTCTACCTAGTCTGGACAGGCCCTAAGGCCGCAGCCACACTACGTAAAAATCACAGTACAATTTTTCATGCATATCTCAGTACAAGTCGGTACGCAACCAAACTACACTTTTCGGTCTGCATAGTTGACGTTTTCACGCGACCAGCACGTGACGTTGTCGTACCAAAGCGTGTGCCATGCGCTGGAAAAGACCGGGAAATTCAAAAACAATGCTGATGCTGATGCTATGTACGACGACCAGGTACAAAAACAAAGTGGTACACAGGAGGTGGAGCGCGAAAACGACGAAAACGACAAACGTGACTTTCTACAGGGGTGCGCCAGTTGCTGAAAACCTACAAAGCGCATTTTGCATTACGCACGCGTCGGCATGACGATTTCTACTGTAATGCCGTTTGTACGTGATTTTGTACCTAGTGTGGTTGCAGCCTTACGTGGATCACCCACGTACGCGTTTCCGTTACATGAGAACTAGACCTCCCTAATATGCGATAGCTGTAACTCAAAGTGGGTACATGCATCTTTTTCCTACTACGCTTTTTTATTTTTTATTTTTATACGAAAGTCCACTATGTTCCCGAATATGTGCGGCGCTTGGGAATGAAATGATAAGAAGAACAGTATAGCACCTTGCTTATTGATAGAAGATGTTCCATTATCGGGATTATATACAGACAGGGTTTATGGAACCACACCATCACAGACCTACGGACAGTGGGGTCATACCATATGAATGCACTTACTTGGTTGAAAGTCGGTTGTAATAATTGTGGTTGTATAGTCACAAACTTACACTTACCACCGGCTCCTTGTACAATGCTAATATCCCCGTTCAGCGTTTTGCGTTTCTTACAAGAGTCACGTTGTTGCCAGTTGCTTACTTTTGATGAGAGAGTACTGTGTACGTGTCAACCAGCCTGATCTACTTCGCGACCGGCAATTACTTTGCGCGGTCTAGTCAACCAGCTGCTGTGTTTGTTAAGAACCATGTATTGTGGTGGGTTGAGAAGGTGAGATGATGATGATCGCTCTTTGTTGCCAGAACCAGAGCTTCAACCAGTAACCGCTATAATGGAAACAAGGAGTTACGTGTCTCCAGACTCTGAGGTTCAGAGCTGGATTCACCCACGATGATTGCACTGTCAACGCAAGATCCCATAACATATTTCACGCCACATAGCTCGATGTGCTTCTGATTGATCAGACTTTGAACATTATGTGTCGATGGGGCAGCATCGGTACCACAGTTAAACGTGGGCTTTGCACCACAAAAGCCCTGGGACGCGCAATATTGTCGTAGGGCTGTGAGAGTGTGTCACGTGGCTGTCCCTCTCCCTAAATTCCAGGCTTACAAAATAACGGACATTATTTATGGTCTCAAATCGGAAAACATGTCTTCTGCAAGCTCTGGACGTGACGGATGTGAAGGATCGTTCCTTTGCAGTTGATTTATAGATGACATCCATAAATCAACTGCATTGTTTTGATGTGTCGAAAAATATTCAAAATGCTCACGGTTTTGTGCCCAGTTGTTTTGCGCTTGCCACATGCTATGCTGTAGGTGTTTATAACCGAAAGATCCTGACATGACACTGCCTATTGTTCGCCTACCTTTATCAACTTCATTCCTGCATACTTGTGTTTTGGAGGCCTATTATCAGCATTGGTCGCGTACTTATGTCTTTCACCCCCTTACAGTGGAATTACCTAAGGTACAAGTAGGTTTGGAATCACGCGTATTAGTACTACTGCTGTGATGTGCCTATCTATGAATCCTACAGCGGGTCGGTACCGAGGTGGTATTGGTTGTATTGGTTGTGTGGTCCAGTCTACGTACAAACTGAAGCTGAAAGTGATGAGCGAGACGGCTGAGATCATCTGGCGGGGATTGAATTTCGGCAAATTATTGGTGCTGTTGCAGTCTAAACATGGCCTTGTTACCACTCCGCCTCATACTGCTCAACCTCCTTTTCTTGGTTATCTGCGGTTGATTGCTCGTGAATTTGTGGACGTCTCCTTTCAAGGCGGGTACAACAGGTGTGCGCAGACATTACGCTCCACGGAGCAGTATGCTGAAGTGAAGAATTAGGATCCGCGCCAAAAATTATTATTCATTCCTAGATTTGTCCTATAACATCTTGTTTGGTGACGCGTACTGTCTGCGCACATCTGTCGTATCCGCCTTGCAAGATAGACGTCCAGCAGACGGTTGGAGCTGGGTTGGCTTCGTTCCCAGCCCCCTTGGCATTGATGATTTCTTGCTACTGCATGTCCTGTGATGTTTGATCCACTAATGATGGCACATTGGCATGCGGTTCTCCATTGTCTCGTGAAGTTTGATCCACTAATGACGGTACATTGGCATGCGGCTCTCCATTGTCTTTCTTCTTGTTTTTTTGTTGTCCTTTTCTATGTAACATTGCAAACCAAACGGACAGGCTTGCCAAATATTATAATGGCAATCGAACTGGCACAACATTGCTGATATAGTACAACAATACAATGTGGAAAGTAGCAGCCAGAAAGACAGCTGCCCTACCATAGACCACAAAGCAGAACAGGGGAAGATATAACAGAACTAGGAGAAAAAGGTTGATCAGCCGGCCAACTATTATAGAAGCCTTTGAGGTTTAAACTTGTACCTCAGGCGTACATACCATTCTGGGTAACACCGTCATTTCGTGTGGAAGCTATAAGCAGGTGTGAGTGGAAGGTTGGTTGGGCGTGCTCAGATCCAACTGCCGAGTTCAAGTCTGCATCGTGTTCAGGTCTGCCGTAGATGTCTGGTAAATTTCGTCAGTGTCATTGTGATTCTCGTCATAATGATGTCTTAAGATTTGCATCTCACCGATTTGGCTCCTGTCTATAAAGACGTACACCAACAGCCTTCCAACAACTTGGAAGTTCTTGGAAGGTTCGAATTGTCCAATGGTCTTGCGAGTATCGTCATCGACATGCATGTACATCCGCTAACGTCCTTCACAGCTGAGACGTTCAGTTCGTGCTTGTCTTGGTTTCGCTCACCTTCCCCTCCTAAGTCATAATAATTGTAACTTACTTTGAAGTAGAACATTCCAAGCTGGAAAGCTGATGGAATGCGCATCAAAGACGTCCTTTAGCTGATAGCTATTTTAGTTGCAGAACGTCAGTACCGTCGGTCAGTGTCGTGCTATGTTGTCAAATGAGCTGGTGGTATAACCACTCGTAGTGGATATTATATCGTAACTGCTAGCTCCTTGGTCTATTTTCTTCTCTATAGTAAGAAAGAAGAGTAAAATAATTAATTTGATTGTGTTAGTCTGGCCCTGGCTGCTCCGCAGCGCTACTAAAACTGCCACTGTGTGCCAAACCTTGTACTAGTAGTACACATGCACGTGATTTGCCCGTAATGGCTTGGTTAGCGAGTCTGTTATGCTAGGTGTTACTGTAGCAGCGGGGTTGGCATGGTTCGGGTGGCACAAGATGCATTTCATCAACACCATGTTATGCAGGGAGAGTTTCGAGCAGTGCTACTTGGTCTTGAAAGCAGATACCCTCGCAAGTGTGGGGCTCTTAGTTTTAGCAGAGAAAGGCAGCCGCTGAACCCACCACGTCCTGGATTTGAAGATCTATTGCGGTTCTACATGTGAGCAACAATTCCTGTTTGCAACCCTAATTATTCTCGGGTCTAGTGTTATTGTGCGCTCTGAAAGTACAGAAGATGTACCGTTCCGGTAGTAAATATGTGCCCTATGAGATCCCCAATTGTTTGGCAATGAAAAGAATTCGCAATTTCTCAACAACTGCTTGCATATTATCAGGACCTTATCAAAGCAAGGTAGCTGTTTCTTGCCAGTGCCGGGCCAAGGTGCTGTGCACATTACGCTGGACACTGTGCCAGTCTAAATCATGTATGGGAAGTGCAGTGCTTACGGGACCAAGCTGTTGTGCACACAACGCGGGTATCTGTGACAGTCTATGTAAGTGGAGTACAGCGCTTGTTAATTGAAACACGAATTCGTATCAATTTCAGCTGCAGGTATATTGGGTGATTTCGGGTACTATGGTTATTATGGGTGCAGTCGACTTATCGTATAACGAACTCACACATGACGGGATTCGTTTTATAACGAACCATATTGGATTTCACTGTTTGAAGCCACCAGCAATAGACCCGTTGCACCTTACCGGCTTTGCTTGTGACGAACTATATATTGTAGGATCGCATGCATGTAAACCAAGATTCCTTTTGTAGACATTGACCACATGCCGGGCATGATCTGGTTTTATTTTTTTACCCGTTCGCGTGAGACTCGGCCAAAGGCCCAGTTTTCCGCATCAGCAGGAACGCCACCACCCTCTTGGATGAAGGCGCAGATGCAGCTCCTAAGCGGTGGGAGGTGAGTAGATGAGACCCACTACAAATATTGGTGGTCAAATCTAACTATCCGGCGCAAAGATGTTCCTTGCATCATGGTCGAATGTATCTCCTTCCTCCCCCCCCCCCCCTCCCCACACACGCTCGACCATTCATTCCAATATTTATTCCAATATCCTCATGACTGTACATGTGTGCGTGTCTTGAGAAAAGAATAGGATGTTTGTCAGGAAAGGGGAGAGGCACTTCCAATTTGGAACGCAATAAGCAAGCAAAATAGTAAAATGATTAAATGCCGTGGTGTCAGCAAAGAATTGCATTGTATGAGCAAAAGGGCATAAAATAATGTCAATGTGTCCGTCCCCAATGGAAAGAATGAGCCTCCTACTCTTACACATGCTATGCGTTAATGAATATTATCGTGACATCCTAACATACGTTCCTCTTTGTGGAAGTAGTAAGGTTGATAATCATACATTCTACTAATTGTGATCAAAAAAAATTGTATCGGGTAAGGGCACAAAGTGTACCCATTAAGTTTTGTGTTCTGCTGAGGAAGAAAAGGAAGGTGCGAGTGTACAAATTTGTTAAAAGGCAAGTTTACAATTATTCAAGTTTCGTGGGAGGCTCAGTTTTCTGGCTATTCAGCACAAGCAGGAACCTCATCACCCTATTTAGAAACTCGCTGGAGTTGATGCAGTGAAAAAGGACTTGATAAGAGAAAATTAAGCCTGCTGGAATAGCCAGCCGAACACGTTATACTAATTATTACAGTGCATGTCTTCCGTCGCCAATAATTGAAATGCCTTCTCTCAATTGGTGCGCTTCATAAAGGGGATTGAAGTGAAACGGTGAACAGGACTAGATAACATGCTGACGCCACAATGTCTGCATCGTAGCAGGTCATTGAACATTGAGATTTATTGCAAAGGTTGAAAACGGCAAACAGAATTCATATGTCTTTGCTTATTTTTGGGAGAAAATCCCGTGGCGGGATGCTGAATGATGATCCTTGGATTGTGTAATGTGAAAGGATTTGTGCGATACATTTCGAGATTAGCAGCTTTGCACGGTTTGGCAATAGGTTGCTCAGGTGTGTGTACTGTTCCTGTCAAGGGCAGCATACAAGTGCTCAGCTTCCTTGGAGGCCGAAACCCCGCACATTTGCTCACGTAGGATACTCTGCATGCCGGTCGTATTTTCTTTATCACTGTTTCCCAATTTGGCATCAGAGGGCTCCTTGTACAGATTGTCATCGTGGACGGTCACATTCACATGTGAGGCAGACAACATCACGTCATGTAGATGACTGTACTCACTCATGTCATGGGCATCACCACTGGCACTAGGTCGACCACTAGTGCGGCATGAACTGCGTTGAAGGGCGTTCTTTGGATGGGTATCCTGTGCGTTCTCCGCAACGGTGTCAGTGCAGTTACCCTGTTGGGAGTCGAAAGGATCCGTATAGATATCATCCACCATGCTGCTTTGACGGGAGCTCTTTGCACGCTTATCCTGCGTGCTCTCCATGTGCGGTTCAGCAGAGTCGGCTGGCTTCGCGTCTATAGGATCCTTATAGATTTTGTCTGTGCTTCCCTTTTTGCCATGTTGGCTGGCGACTATAACATCGTGAACAGGACTGTATTTGCGCAAAACTGTTTGCATTTCAATTCCCTGATCATAACCAGCCGTAGGTGCTTCAGAGTTTGAAAAACTACGAGGGATGGTCTTCGGGGCTGACTTGTGTCCTCCGACATGACAAACAGACTGGGATTTCAGTCTTGGCGGTGGACATTTCGGCAGCTCACGAGCAGTTGGCCTGTGGAAGGAGAAACGGTTAAAGTTCGCAGTCGGCTTTGCCAGCTTTCTTGTGTACTCGTGATGTGGACTGATCTCGGCGTAAAGATCGTCAGACGCTGGTTGGGGGCACTCTTCGTTGTCCTCTCTGACAACGGCTGACAGACTTATTGTGCACTCGCAGGGTTCAGTCTGCACTAATCCATCACGTACTTTGGGATTATCATTTTGATGAATTGTAGATTGGCTTAGTGCTGGAGGCTGCATTTGATTCGAGTTAGCGATATGCCCCGACGAGACACGCGATGTCAAAGTTCCTTTACATTGTTCTTTTTTCGTTTCCACTCTGGTTAACACAGCATTATCGTAGGCATGAATCGTACTAGCATCCTTGATCTTGTTTCCTGATGTGGTCTCCTTCTTTCCCTCAGAACATAACTCCTGCACATGTTCGTCATCGTTGTTGCTAGTTTGTAGTTGATCTAATGGTAGCGAGTAATGAACATCGTTTTTGCGTTGATTTGACACCTCAGAAATGTTTGGACCAACGGCCGAATACACCTCTTCGTCCCCGGACTTTGCAGCATCATTGTTAGCATTTTTGTTAGTTTCAACTCGTCGTGGTTCCTGCTCCCCTGTGACCACTGGGTCCAGATTAGAATTCGTTGCAGCTAGGGAATGGAACAGCCTGCGTGTTTCTTGGGTAGAGGTGTTAGATCGCCGCGTGTATATAACGTACAGAGTGAATACTGTTGAAAGCACCGCCAGAAGTGCTGCAAGACAGGCGATAATAGGAACATATGGGTTTTGATGGGTTCGTGATCCTTTGCCTCCAACGAAATTTGGCTCTGTTTGAGCAGAGGGCCGGATAACACGAGAGGTGGCTGTTCCTGTTTGTAGGAAAGATGTTTCAGCAGGTTTACTATGATTTTCCGAAAGTGGTGTTCCATCAGTCCGTTGCGTACTTGTGACTTCTGTTGTAACATGAAGTTGTTCTAAGGAAAGGAGGGTAAGGGCGCAGAGACAGCACGAACACTGTTAAAGACCTTAAGAAAAGACAGTACCTTTCACTACAAATAGTTTATTAAATCACCAATGATCAAGCGGACTGGAAACGATAATGATCCACATGCTATTTCCTATGATGCACTACCAGATCATAGCAGCTCGCACATGATTCATTTGCTGTTATCGTGATAAGAACCAACCTAGATCAAAAGCTCGAGTATGTCACGTATTCACCAGGAAGACAGTGAAGAAGTCCCACAATGAATTGAGAGGAAGCGTATGAGGGAGGGATGGCCAAGTGTTTGAGGTCTTTCGTGCACTAACTCTGCTTGGAATGGTGTTCATCAGGATCGGCTCAGATATGGCCATTACTCCCTGAAGCGCTGTTAGTTGACGAAGATGATGACGGTGAGAGAACGTGAGCAAGAGCAAGAGAGATAGAGATAGAAATAGACATAAATAAAGAAAGTAAAAGGTTTCGAGACTTTCGACATTAAATGTTCACGTACCTTTCGCAATGAGAGCGATGCCCGATCCCGATTTGCTTTTAACTGGATGCACATCGCAAAATGGTCCCGGTGTACTTATGGTCAAAAGCAGTGCTCCTCGGCCATATTTCCGGAAGTGATTTTGAATGACGTTGGCTTGCATGCTGGATATTGTAGCGTTCTGCCGGTCGTAACCCGCACTATCCTTGACGAAGTTAAACAGTCCTACAACCAACACGTTGCTGCTGTCGATAAAAGCCATTTCAACCGTACAACTGCCAGTGAAATGTAACCGCAGCTTCTCAAAGCGAGCATTGCACGTCCGATTAAAATCAAATGAATAATTCAGAAGGTTTGACTGTTTAACTCGATATCCATCGTGATCATCATTTTTTGGGCGTAATACCAACAGTGAACCACCTTCTAGCGTGGCTGTCCCTTTGTTGGGGTGACATCCTGCCGTCCAGTTGGTAGCGGTACAATTGTTCCACAAAACTGTAAGGGTTGAAAATAGCAGAATTGTGTAATTCCGGGTGATTGGTATAATCAAACAAGCTATGAGCCGTTGGTAAGGGTAAACAAAGCATGACAATCGCAAGAGAGATAACCAAAAATTGAATAAAATCCGAGAGCAACCTGTTCCATTCAGCTTAACATAAGCGTGGAAGTTAAGCACAACTTCGTGGGGTAAATGGGCAGGAACGTTCAGCTCAAGGCAACACGAATAACGAGTTACATCAAAGGAGAAGTAAAGGTCTTGTGTAGGACACGGCTAGATTGTCCATTGCTATTTAGAACCAAACTGTCAATTCCAATCTACAATGGTCACGAGTTGGTTTTATTACAGAAGTGAAATAGGATAAAGAATTTGGTGTTTTACGAAATATTATTCACGAAAGTCGAGCACGTTCCTAAAATTCTATTGTCCCGCCGTGTCGTATACCCCTGATCGATACAGTGAGCTTGGGTGTGGACGATTGAATTACCACGGTGGAAACACAAAATCGCATGCCTGCTTAACTCTTTCATCGCTAAGGACGAATATGTATGTCCTTGACAATGATTCTCGTCCATAAAGGGCGTGTATTTACGTCCTCAGTGCACGTCGAGTCCTGAACAGAATTTTCAGAAGATGCGTATCTTCAAACTATCGTAACTCAACAAATTCTTACCCAATCGACACAATTGAAGGATGTAGATCGAAGAGACAACTCTCAGCTTTCGATTTCCCCGAAACGATAGGATAAAGGATCGCTGAGCTCTAGCACGCGACGGTTATACAGTTTCAACCATTTTTTTATCGCCATGCGTGGGCGCTTGATTTACATTTTTCAGCATTTATGCCACTTAGTGCCTTGGCAACTTTACTTCATCTGGAGCAGGTTGTGTGCACAACAAAAGTGAGCTCGATACGAGCAAGGAGAGTGGAATGGCGGGTGAAAGCTGTGTAGCTGGTCTATTACCTTGTGTAGACTGGTGCTTTAGTTCATCATCTTTCCCGTCGCAGCATCTTTCCGGGAAGGTCTAGATGTAGAGAATGGGAGAATGGCTGCCAGAGTTTCGAGCATTTTAGATGCTGTGTTTTCAGTAAAAAATGACGCAGGTGACAGTACCCTGCAGTGGTAAAAGGGTTAATTACATTTCTAATTCGTTATTTGAATTCTTTCACATTTCAGCACTTACTGGCAATCACTGCGACGGCGGTAGTGATCCAAAGACACCACATATTGTCGGCTTCTCCACCTTCGAATGAGCGGATTGTTTGATGACAATTAGGGTCCAGGAAAGTGTCAGGTTTCCCCGCTCAATGAGTGAGTATCAGGAGCAGTCGTTTTTTGATATTGAAATCTAACCAACCAGAAAAACACGTATGATGCTGTCCTTCAACAGTAATCAATATTGATTACTACTTCGCCATTACCAACCACTGACTATGCAACTCCGTTGTTGTATGTTGTGTTGTACGGGCGGAGGACAAAGTCTCGATATGTATTACAACGAGACTGAGCAAAGGCATTGTACTTACATTACTCTTCTTCTGACATTAGCATCTGGAAGAAACACACTGGTTGTGACCGGCTGTGCACCACGATAAGACCATAAACTCCAGATAAGCCAGGTGTTGAGCACTAGTGCTTGGGCAGTAGCTTATCACCTGGCATAGGGTTGTGAAGCGGATATAATGAAATGTGACCGTAGTTGCTGAGGATACTGACGTTAGGATGGAGATTAAAAAACCTTTTGTATGCCATTAACATGTAAATATCCATGGACCTAATTCTTCTTAACCGACGTCGTCAACGTACGGCACCGGAAGAAACTACGTACCATCATTGGTATCACGTACCCACGGCCACAACGAATCTCGAACACAGCGCTGTATGCCAGAACCGAGCAGACCCCAATATACCAAGTCTGCAGGCAACGGAGACTGCTGTGGTTCGGCCATGTAGTGAGGGAAGGCGCAGATTCGGCCCCTCTTTCCAAGCCCTGCTCATGTCAATCAACACAACAGACATACGACGACCCCGTGGACGACCACGTCTGTGATGGATCGGCGTTGTCAAGAAAGACTTACAATGCATTAATCTCTCGCTTCTGGATGCCGTGCAATCTGCTTCTGATAGAGCTGCTTAGCTCGAAATTGTCAACAGATGCGTTGACCTCATGCAATGAGTGATATGCGAACTGTCATTATTATTATTATTAGAAAGGAAAAGGACATATGGAAACGAGTTAAGAGTAACTCTCCACCACTGTAACTAGATACTATATACAGTCTGAGAGTGCAACAACTAGGCACAACACTTTAGCGCTACGGAGATGTGTTGAAGCTAGGTGTCAGGACGTTGAATGTCTCAGTACTCTGTCAGTTTTGTGCCTAGTTGTTGCACTTTCTGACTGTATATAGTATCTAGTTACAGTGGTGGAGAGTTACTCTTAACTCGTTTCCATATGTCCTTTTCCTTTCTACGTTTATTATTGGTTCAATTCCCGAGTTTCAAATTGCACACCTGATGAGCCGTCACGAACCATACGGCGAAACGTACGTCGTGTGAAACAACTTGTTTTGTAGTCAACTAGTCCATCACAATATCCTGCATGAGGAGTACTGTAGGAGTTCAGATTTCGGCTTGTACAATTCGTTCTCGCAAAGCTTCCCCCTTCTTAACTTATCTTTGATATTTTTGACCCACCCAAGTTGGGTGGTGTGCTGCTTTGCTGCTTCGAATTGTAGTTAGACCGCTTTGTCAAATCGCCGACTGGTCTCGTCATCGTCCAGTGACAATCGACATTCTTTGTTCCGTTTGGACTGTAGTAGTGCTCGTTTTCGTTGCGCTTGCCTTCCCCTCTTTGGTCTTTCCATAACCTTGAACCTTCCAGGTTGGAAGGCTGTCGGTTAGCGCTACGGAGATGTGTTGAAGCTAGGTGTCAGGACGTCGAATGTCTCAGTACTCTGTCAGTTTTGTGCCTAGTTGTTGCACTTTCTGACTGTATACAGTATCTAGTTACAGTGGTGGAAAGTTACTCTTAACTCGTTTCCATATATCCTTTTCCTTTCTACTTTATTATTGGCTCAATACCCGAGTTTCAAATTATTATTTTTATTTTTATTCCCGTAGCTATGCAGAAGACGTTACTTCTGTAACGTCTGGCGCTAGCCAGGGTCCACACAGCTTTAATTTGGTGTTTGTTTGTTTGTGTGTTTGTGTCACGCCTGGCGCTATCCCGTATCTGTTCCGTATCGTACCGTACCATCAAACACAGCTGGCCGCAATACATTGTATTCAATATTCAAATACCGTTCCTATCCGGTACCGAACAATCAAAGACGGCTAGGCTGGCCACAATGCATATTCAAATAGGGGTTTTAAATACAAGTTCATAACGTGAAGCAACTTGGAAGAATTAGTATGTATGCGAAGTGTATCGGGGGATGCATGTAGGGCGGTATTGCGTGTTCGAATCCCAGGTTATGTCTAAAAACAAAAAGTAGAAACTTACTTGGTCCGACTTATTAAAATGTGCGCTTTGCTTCAAAACTCAAGCCTATCTCCAAAGGAGCAACTGTACTAAAAAATCGGCCAAGAGACAATAGATAGATAACTACTCTGTCGTTAATTTGCCTGACCTTCTAGTTTTCATCTCTGCTGGTGTCGCAGGGCGCTTCTTCAAGTGCGTCAACCTGCAAAACGTCGACATTTTTTTCATCTCCTCCAAGCTACACTGCGCTTCCTTGATTTTTTCACTCCATAGGCACGATTTAGACGATCGACTTCGCCTCCTTCTCGTGCAGTACGACTGCCAGAATGGTGGCTGTAGGTGGCTGTAGGTGTTTTCGCCTGACGCTCCCACGACACTTTCAAATGAGGCGAAGAAGTAAACCACCACGCATAAAAAATCACTTCTCATCACTGTGTGCCGCGCGGGTAGAACTACAGAGTCTGATCTGTGTCGGCATGACTGTCACACAGTCAGCTGCATCAGACCATGTGTGCTCTTCCCTGCCTGTTTCACGAATCCACTGGCCCCGGAGACTGGCGATCTTGTGACGCATCGCGATCGCGGCTCCGAGGAGTCGGCGAGGACTCCGCAAAATTTTCACGCAAAATGCTCGAGTCGACTAGGATCCTGAGGCTCTGCCTCCTTTGGGGTTGGAGCCATTTCTTCTTCAACATCACAAATCGACAACTGAAGGATAGTGTTAGGTAGCTGGAAAGTTTGTTCCGTCCTGAGATTATTTGAATTTGTTTGGCTGACGTTCGAAGCGAAACGCACATTTTAATAAGTCGGACCAAGTATAAGAATTTATAACATCCCTATGCTTTTTTTTGTCTAGGTCATCAAGGCAAAAAAGCATAGCGTAGGGCCCTGAGCTTCCAAGCTCTCTCGTTATTATTGAGTCTGCAGGCAACAGGAAAGGTGAGTTACGAAGTCTGAAGAAAACGTTGAACGATCTCTGCTTGGATGACGACAACACCATACTCGCAACGGAAGTGTCATGTCATACGAAAACCGCCGGATAAGGGAGGCAATCCACATCTCCAGACATCATCTTAATTTGAACCGTGATCGTGGCTGGGTGTTGCTTGACAATTGACAATGTGAAAAATTGGATGATGATCATTGTTTCTGTTGCCACTGTCCTGTCCTGTTGTCATGTGTGCTTGTTCACGCCATTTTTATATACCGGTAGTTCAGCACAATGTTGTACTATAAGTGCAGTTTGTCGACGGAATCTCATCTCCTTTTCTTTTGTCATTTGTGCTTCAGTGTTTTGGCATGGGTATGTGTGTGTGCCTGTGCCGAAAGGATGGTGCAATTTTATCATGTATGGTGTAGTTTCGTTCTGCTTTGTGTTGCCTGTTATAGGTCCAACTCACTTGTTTTTTCTCCTCAATCCTGATGATGGCTCCTGGCCGAAAATTTGATTGAGAATTTTTGTAATTGTAATGCTTGCTAATAGCTACTACAGTAGTAGTTGTTATTATCTCTATACAATGTGATGAATCTGGAAAGGAGATTGTCTTCCATTGATTATTGGACTAAATTGGGCTAATGTGAACGTACATGTATACCACCCAATGAACACCCAACCGGGGATGTTCACACCCACTGGGTTATGGACACCTGTACAACGTGCATGCTTTAGTGTCTTGTATTTAAAAAGCCTGTCTTGTATAGTCAAGAGAAGTCTGGTTTCCATGCTGACATACAAAAAAATACCTGGTTGAAGTATAAGCCTGATACACAATACACGACATTATGGTACATGCATCCACACCAGATATACATGACTATGCATGTCACAACGCCATTCAAACGTATAGAAGTAGAAAACCGTTCTTTACCAATAAAGAAAGACACCAGTTTAAACAAAGAATAAGAATATTATAGTCGTGGATAGTTGCTGCATAACTCGTTCTCATGTATTTCTTCTCTTTTTTACATTTATAACTGGCTCAGTATCCGAATTTAAATATAAAGGAAGTGTACGATAATTGCTCGGATACAAATGTAAAATAGAAGAAATACACTACGGAACGAGTGATGAAGCAACTATCCATGGCTGTAACAAGATAATAAGCAGTCAGAAAGTGCGCTAACAGGGCACAAAACTGAATGTCTCATTAGCCTGTCAGTTGTGTGGCATGTTATCGCACTTTCTGCCTATTATCTTGTTACAGTCGTGGATAATTGCTTCATAACTCGTTCCCTAGTGTTTTTCTTCTATTTTACATAGAATAATTGAAACAATGTGTCCAGTACAGAGAATGTGTCGAATATGAAGGAGTCATAAAGGATCAAATCTTCTCTTTCAGAGTTAAAATAAAGACACAGAAGCACATCATACAAATACCTAATAAAAATAACAAAAATTCGACGGGTTCGCGTACCGGGCAGGTCAAGAACAAGGAGTCGTACAACTCCCTGGTCAAGAACCACCTTTCCGCTTCCGTGGGATGCCACCACCCCATGACCAGGCATCAGATGCGGCTCCTAAACAGTGGGGAGGATAGATCAGATCCACCAACCAGAGGCCAAAGGCCTCAATCCCATACACATACCTAAGAATCATATAACTACAATATAAACAAAGCAAATGCTAGGTCCTAAATACACATCACTGTCTGAAAGTGAAAGCCTAAGAAAGTGGTGGGATTTAGCCCAATGTAACACACGATAGATGCATTCAAGACTTCTATGGCGTGCTACAATGGTTACCAGGTACAACCACGAGGAGGTACCCACCAATTGTACCCATTTTTTGGCGCTAGTTACCATGCAATCCACATTTTTTTTTTTACTAGAGCCACGTAAACCCGTCATGTGTGAGCCATGAATAAGGGGAGTGGTGGCGTGGTCTGGGATGCTCTGCCGACCTTGGGTCTCGGCTTCATCACAACCAGGCGCGCCAATAGAAAAGAGAGAAAGAGAGAGAAACTTAGACAGAAAGAGAGAG